GTCGCTTAACCAACTGAACCACCCAGGCGCCCGAGATGAGTTTTTATCTACAAAACAATTTTGGGTCATTTGCCTTACACAATGGGTGCCTGCTTTGGCCATATTCTATGATTTGAATGGTGAATGGGTGACTTGGCAGTGGCTTCTCTGGACTGCAATCTGATACCTAAGGAAATAACCACTGACTTTAATGACAAGTTTTCTCAGGCTCAGAGGCCATTTTCCTACGGAACTTTTCTGTCATAAACTCCCTACTGGGAACTTCTCTCCCCAGACTCAGTAAAATAAACATTTCTAAAGCCAAACAGTTGAATTTATCAATGCTCATTTCTGTTGTTAGCCGGGTAAGAAAATAATTTCGGAGACAATTTCCATTTCTGATGGACTTTGGTTGACTACACACACTAGAATTTAGTCCTCTAATCATGAATCATAGACATAATGTCTGTATTAAATGAAGGAAGGCCACTTAATCAGATTTTAAAAACCCAGCCTAGTAGTTAGATCTTCAGAAAAAAAGATGCCCCCCAAATTCTAACTGCCATCACTTTTCATAGGTCCTTGGTGTTTTCTTCCTCTTCTTTAGGAAACTATTTTGATTATTCTAATTTTTGATGGCTTAGCATTTTTATGTATAGTCACATTAATTGATTGCATGGTAAGGTGGATGAATCCCAAGCGGTTTGGATGATACTCACCCTCTCTCCATACTCTTTGGGTTGGGACTTAATTTGCTATTTTGGGAGGAAAATGTAATAAGAAACATAGCCACAGCATACACTTATTTTCATGAAAGGAAGACGAGGTTCTCTTTAGCCTAGCTGGACTAGGATAATCAGTTTGTTCTGTTGCCTTGGAATCCAAACTCAGAGGCCTATCTGGGCCAGGTAGGACTTGTGAAATGTATGATTAGGACAATGGATGAGTAATAGGGAGTGGTGGGGTCTTCGTTGGATTAGGGTGTGTATTCAAAATTAAATTTAAAACAACATCACCACTACGTGAGCCATATGTCCAAGGCTGTGGGTCAGAATGTTATCTAACTCAATGTCAGTGTTGATAGCCACAGCACTACTCTTGTAAGATAAGGTGATATGAGTGTAAGGGGAGGCCATACAATGGAACCCATAGCAGCTGAATCCCTGCTTCTCCAGGGGGTAGACACAACATGGCTTAGTATTTAATGTTGACATCTAGAATTGACAAACTTGCTTTAATACTTTTTCCTGAAATTTTCAGTGATTTCTATAAGCATGTTTATATCCGCTCTGTGCCAAGCACTGTGCTGGGATGTGAAGATCAATAATACGTAGTCCTTGCCCTTGAGAGCCCAATTATAGGAGGGCAAAGTAGAGATCTAACAGATAAAAGCAATCAAGTGTTAGTTCTCACTCTCATTTTTGTTTTATAGGAAAAATAACAATGGTATAGTATAAGCCAACAAGTTGGGAGTACAACAAAGAGCAGAATCATTGCCTCTATCTCCCCCATCTAAATCATTCATATAATAAATGCACCACTATTGCCAAGAACCTCTGCCTTCCTGACTTCAATCTGGGCTCTCTGGCGCGCTGCCAGCCAGGAGAGAGCAGCTGGGATTTTGAGGCTGCTGTGTGGTAGTGGAGCTGTTAGAGTCCTTTTGTTCAGAGGAAGGATATGCCCAGAAAACAACAGCTCCTTCTGTGGACAGTCATCAATATTTTCACTAAAATGATAAAATGGTAGCCAGTCAACTGTTGAACAATTTGAGCAGTAAAGGGAATTCCCTTGGGGAATCCATTTTAACGCAGAATGCACGAGACTGAGAGGCATTTGGAAAGACAAAAAATAATAAGTGGAAAAGGCTAACAACAAAATGGCTTAGCTCAGCATTTTCTGATATAACTTGTACTTCTTAATTTTACAACGTCTTGATTCCTAGAGTCCATAAGGCAGATGCCTTCCAGAGTTGTAATTATGTTTATGTTACACGTGGCAATTTTTCTTTAGAGACTGTTCCATGATATCCAGTTTTACCAATGTATTGGTCATTTACAGATGGTATCCTACTACCCTAAATATGAAAATTTGAGCTAACACCCATATGGGGCTGGTTAGTGACCCACAATGGAGCCCACAGATGACTTATAGATGAAAAGTTACTTTAGTCAAAATCAAATTGAAGATGTCCCCAGTTACAAAAAAATGGTTATTTATACTCAAAATGTCAGAGATGGTGAAGGGTTGGATTCAAGTCTAGGTCTGGCCCCTAAATCTAGAGCTTTTCCATCAATATCATTACTGTAACCAAGCCTGGGTTTGTTCCTTGGTGGGTCACAGAAATTACCAGGTGAGTGGCTGCACAAAGAAAAAAACTTTATTTGCAGCAAATAAGGAGATGATACAGGACAGCTTCCAAAGTCATGACTCCCCGAGGATGGGTGAATACGCACCTTACTTTTAGGGTTAGGATGAATATTTAGATAGGGAAGACTTGTCAGTGTGTATAGGGGCAGGCATAAGGTAGCAAATGTGCTTTAAAGAAACATGCCTATACGTACATTGTATGTCCTGTAAATGAGGCTGAGACTCCTCCTTGGGCAGAGATTTTAGTATTATAATGAGGTAAAAGTAATGGAAGGTTATTCCAGAGGTCACTCCATGGCCCCTCTGCACAAGCTAAAGTAGGGGTTTAGCTCAAAGGGTCTGGATAGTCTGGGCCAGGAGGTCTTGTTAAGGTAGTTGCTATCACCTGAGGGGTGGTTTCAGGTTTCATTTGCCTGAGTTAAGAGGAAACTACAGTGAGTACAAGCAGGTAGGCAGTAAACGTCAGATCTTGGAGCCTGGCTGGTGATATTACCATCTTTAAAAAAATTAAGGTATAAAGTGAGATCATGCAGTGTTGATTTTAGACAAATGAGATAACATATTTCATTATGTAATCAAATAAGATGTTAATCTTTTGTAAAATTCAATACATATGGAGTCCTGGAAATGAGTAAATTAACCTCATTAACCATGTTTTTGAAAAATTATAACATTCCACAGAAGTGGCAGGAGGAAAGAATATATTCTCTACATTCTATTTCAATATCTCAATCAGAATGGGAAATATATGATGTAATCTAAATATATTGCACTATTAAAGAATTTCTGAGCAAGGTTTTGTAAAATGGCATCTCTAGGAGTACCTTCTTTCCCTGTGGGGGTCCAAGTTTCTCTGTTCTTATTATTCTTCCAATCATCTAATGCTACTGGTTTGTTTTAGGTCTTGAAGAAGTGCCTCAACTTCCAGCCCACTGATGGCATCTTTCAAATATGTATAATTCTTCTATAATTTCAATAGGACTTAGGGAAGGAACATGGATTGGGTACATCAACTCGAACTATGAACATCAGACAAATAAAGCTTGACTAAGTGGTGATCACAGGAAAATAAAGATCTATTATAAATATTTAAAGGAAGCAAACTCGAAGGGAAGAAATCCATCACTCAAGTATGACTAACAACAGAGAAATGAAACTCCAAGCTATTAGGAAATGTACAACAGCAGACTTGAGCAGATAATGGTACATAATTGGGAGGAAATTTTAATTCTTTAAGAAATTTGGTATTAAAAGTGCCATCAAAAAACCATTGCATTCTGTGCCTAACACAGAAATTTGGTATTAAAAGTGCCATCAAAAAACCATTGCATTCTGTGCCTAACACAAAGCATGCACTTAATAATTGTTTAGTAACTGAATGGGTGACATTGTCAGAAATGCCCTGGGGTTAAATCCAAGCTGAAATATCAAGTGTGGTTGTGAGCACTTTGATTTATAAAACTAGAAACTCTTTCTAAAGCTAGAGTTTGGGCGCCTGGGTGGCTCAGTTGGTTAAGCGACCGCCTTCGGCTCAGGTCATGATCCTGGAGTCCCGGGATCAAGTCCCGCATCGGGCTCCCTGCTCAGCAGGGAGTCTGCTTCTCCCTCTGACCCTCCCCCCTCTCATGTGCTCTCTCTCTCTCTCTCTCATTCTATCTCAAATAAATAAATAAATAAAATCTTTAAAGCTAGAGTTTATCTAATACAAATGCTTTTTTTTAGTAGGCCCGTTCCAACCAATTTGCGACACTGAGCTATCTCTTACTGCAAGAGTTCTTTAACACCCACTAAAAAGGTGGTTCTTTAATTTTCAGTATCTCACTTGATTTAAATGAAATATTGATAATGTAATTTTATATTAGAGGTTAACCAGAAGTTAACTTTGACGCTGGGAAGGTAACAATTTAAGTTAGGTAAGTGGCAAATGCTGATTAATTTTTCTGTGACCTTCAAAAGAGAGAAAACTTTGCTTTTTTTGTTTTTGGTAGGGCTGATTTTTCACAAAATAAGAAATTTGCAGAGAGGGTCTGTCTTGCTTTGGGAAAAGTTCCTTCAAACTTTAATTTGCATACAAATAACCTGGGGATCTTGTTAAATGCAAATTAGATTAGGCAGATCCGAAAAGGTCCTGGGAGTGCAATTTTGACAGCTCCCAGGTGATGCCGCTGGCCTTGTAAGATTTTGTGTAGCAAAGGTATAAACGCTCAAACATCTTAGGTCACTCAATTCTCGTTTTCAACTTTAAAGATTTGGTCCAAATGTGCTTGCTGTTTTGTAACGAAAGAAAGTTTCCAGAAAACACTAGGCCTGCTAATTTCCTTCACTTTTGAATGGCAAAAAAATGCATTTCAGAACTGCAGCTCCGGCCTCCACGACTGGTCGTTCTAAGGCGGCTTTGGGGAGCAAGGAATGCGTCTAAGACCCCAGTCCGGATGTCGGCGCTGCACCTAGGTGGGTTCCGAGTCTGCGGAAAACACGCACGGGATGGGGGGACCCCGGGGATGCCCGACGCCCCCGGTCGCCGACGCTAGCCCTTTCCAGGAACGCGCGGGCCCGCCCCCCGCGCGCGGCCGCCGATTGGCCAGGACGGCGCCGGCGTGACGTCAAGTCCCGCCCCATCGCCCCTCAGGCCCCGCCCCGCGGGGTGGCCTGGCGGTTTGGTCTGGAGCAGCTGAAACCGGTTTGAGTGGAGTCGCTTCCTGCCGCTCGGCGCCGCCCGGGGCTGCCTGGGGGAGCGCTGGCGAGGCGCTGACGGCGGGCGCCCGGCTTCTCGGCCCGCGGCCCTCGCTCTCGAGCGCAGCGGCGGCGACGGCGGTGACGGCGCGGACCCGCGGAGCAGGCAGGTGAGGCGGGCCGCCAGGCCTGGCCCGGCGCTCGGTGCGGAGGCCGCGGCGGCAGCTCACGTGGCAACCGAGCTGTCAGGGCGGCCCGGCTGGGGATGCGGCGGGGCGAGGGGTGGGCAGGTGCCCCGGCCCCGGCCCTGCGGGCACCGTCCCCTGGGGAACACTGGCCTGGACGTTCGCGCCGGTACGTCGGTGGGCACCCTCTGTCTATTTGGACTTTTATTGTTTGCTCCCACGATTCCCTGGGCTGCCTGGTGCTTAGTTCCTCTCTGAAAAATTCGGACAGTATTTTCCCTGCCAGAATTCATAGAGCCTAAGACCACCACGAGTATACGAACTTAAGGAACGAAGAAACAGAAATTGCCACTGAAATCTGTTTGTGCACCCCTAACCCGCAGCATGCCCCTCGCTCACCACTACTCGATCCGTCTGTGCGTAATCCTTAGTGTTTTGGCAACTGCTTATTTTCTGAAATTGCCTAACCACATAGTCGAAGGCATGCTTGTATAATCCAGTTGTTCCAAAAAACCGAAGTGCCTTCTTATCCTAAGGAGAGGTCCCAGGAATAGACATCTTTGCTCTCCATGCAGTTTTGGGAAAGCTGCACCGTCTCTCCAAAACTGCTCTTGGCCCAAAGCTCTTCAGATTGCCATGATGCCCTCTGGGGGGACTCCTCGATCAGTTAGGGGCTTCATCAGCCCCCTCTCACCCCACTGCCCCGTCGTAAAGGAAATCGTTCATGGATTCAGTCATGAATTGCAGAGAATTCTTTTATTTTGAGGCAGCTGTGGAGTCCAATGTAGTGCCGACATAGAAGAAGATTGAACCGAGCAGGATGTTCAGACCTGATGATGTTTTCTTCATACTCTTCTGTGGCCCTCTCTATTCGCGCCTAGTAACTACCCCCTTCTCTACCCCTTCATGTTTCTCCCTCTTGCTACATTTCTGACAGTTGTGACTTAGCTAAGAAGTAAATACAAGCTATCTGTCCTTTTTTCAACTCCTGATGGTCTGGATACAAATGATTCAGGATAAAGCAAACAGGTAAAACTGCACGTGGCCTAATCTGTTCTGGACTTAAGAACTAGGGAGAACCAATACTCGACACAAAATAAGACTTAGGGAAGTTCTGTTCGGAAAAATAATGACCACAAAAGAAATCTCACGGTGGCAGAGTAAAATTTGATACCTACAAAAAGTAGGTTGATGAATCAAATCCTTGTATGTAATCTAACCAGGGAAAGCATATGAACTATACATGACATAATATCAAGACAAAGTGAAATGGAAAACATTTGGAAAACTTTTACTGCATTGCTTAGAAAGTTGAACCAGGAATAAACCTGGCTTAGTGAAATCTCCAGAAATGCATAATGAAAATCCATTCGTGTCTTCATGGCTCAAGTATACTGGGGTCAGAATAGTGGGCTCATAATGATCCTCCAAAAGGATTAACAGAAATTAACTTAGGAAAACATAGGTATTTCATATATTCTTTATAGCCAGTTATGAGGACCAAAGCTGCTGGAGTCTAGGAAAGAGTAAGACTTGGAAATGGCTTTTTTCTTTGAAAAAATTTGAAGGAAGACAGAGATGTTCTTTTCGGCCAGAAAAACACATTTTAACTAAAAATATCTGTGATCTCAATATAGCTGTAAACTAAATGTTCCTGTACCTTGGTTTGCTTAAATATCCCTTTTGGGGTGCCTGCGTGGCTCAGTTGGTTAAGCGACTGCCTTCAGCTCAGGTCATGGTCCCGGAATCCTGGGATCGAGTCCCACATCGGGCTCCTGGCTCAGCGGGGAGCCTGCTTCTCCCCCTGACCCTTTCCCCTCTCATGCTGTTTCTCTTTCTCTCTCTCTCTCTCAAATAAATAAATAAATAAAATCTTTAAAAAAAAAAAAATAAATACCCCTTTTGTTCCTCAAGCTGGTAGACCAGTAAGGTCATGTGTTGGGATAGTTTCTTTGACCAAAAAAATAGAGTAAAGTTTATTTTGGCAGGTAGTGTAAACTGAAATATTTCTTGAATGTAAATTACAATGTCATACTTTACTAATTGCTTAAGTCTTTAAAAAATGTTAAAATACTGTTAGATGCTACTCAAAATCTCAGATGAGAATACTGTTTGATATTTATCTTCAAAAAGCACAAAATGGAAGTTTTATATAAAACAAATTGTGTTGGTTAAATTACATTTACAGTCAGCTCATGTACATGAAAATGACTAGATTTTTTCACCTTACTCTTGTTTTGTGTATGTCTGGAAGACCTCCCCTGTCCAAGTTGGGATTTTTTTTTTTTTTTTTTTTGCTTGTTTGGAAGAGGAAATGTTGGTGGGTGTGTAAATTTTGCATTCTGCAACAGTACAGTATTTTACTTTGTCACTACTGTTTTGGTGGTAGCTGGGTGCCAAAATTGTGCACACCAATCCTGCACCAGAATTTTGGCCTCTGTCCACAATCAAGTAAACTGATGTAGGAGCAGCTCCCCAGGCTTTTATTTGGTATGGTATTAAATTGTGGAGGGGAAAGAGAGGAAATTAAACCACACTATAGGACTTTTGGCAATCCAAATGAAAAATGATGCTTTGTTGACATCCAGGGAGGTTTTGAGGGGGGGTGTGTTTTTGTGCTTGTGTATGTAGTTTTGTACAGTACATTTACTGCAGCTATTACAATAACTGTTACCAAGTTACTATAGGCACTTTTACAAGCAACCTTAAGAATGAAAGTCAATTTTAATAATCAATTGAATTTATGTAAGTTTCCCATTTAATGCAGTAGAAATTTAGAGGTAATTTTGTGCCAGTTGTTGATTTTAATACATGGGAATAATTACATTTGATTTCCCTAAAATTGGCTAAAATAGATATTTAAAATTGATCAGAAAATAGTTGAGTAGCAACTATGTAATTATGTAGATGAGATTATGTAGTCCTTTGTTGAAAACTGACAGTAAATACTGGGTGAAAGTAGAAGTTGTAGGTTGCAATTAAGGTTGGTTATGCACCAGTTTTGCTGGATGATGGGGCTTTTTGCTGTGTCCCAAAATTCAGTTACGTAAAAGCCAAGCTCTTTTGCTAGTCTTGAGGTTTCTTTATATGACATAAATTAAAGGTAAGAGTGTGGTGTTTAGTGAACTATTTAATTATTAGAAAAGGAAGTATTACTATTCTTAGAGTTAGTACTCCGATTCCTATCAGATGTCATATTAAAGGAGAGCTAATAAGATACTTGGATAATGATTGTTTAATGAGGGGGTTAACAGTCTACAGCTATTTTTAGTTTTAGAACATTCTTTGGCAGTGCTAGAACTGAATGTATATGCTTTAAATAGATTGTGTTTGTTCTTAGACACAAATTATTTTGATCAAGGACAGGATTTTCTCTAGTGCACGGTCTTGGGTTTTCTAACTGAAATGGTAGAGTTATCAAATAGGGAATTCTGTATGAAGGTGATATGAAACCACATTGACCGGTGGTCTTGCTTAATATGAATATTCAGTATTTACATTTTATCATTGATGTAAGTGGGATGATAAATAGTTTGTAGCTAACAGTGAGTCTGGAATTTTGACCCTCATAGCAGCCCCCTGTGGATCAGGTTTCTCAGCCTCCGCCCTATTGTTATTTGGAGGTGGACAGTTATTTGTGGAGAGCTATTCTGTGCATTGCATGGTGTTTAACAGCACTTTGGCCTCTAGCCACTGGATGCCAGCAGTATCACTCCCAGTTGGGACAACCAAAAATGTCTACTGACATTGCCAAGTACCCCTTGGAGGGCAGAATTGTCCCCAGTGAGAACTGCTTGCTATAGATCTACCTTGGCTTGGAAGTGTAGTTACTTGAGCAGCAGTGTTCATTGAATGGTCATTGCAGAGTTGGGTATACGTTCATGGGGTGGGAAAAGGAGCAAAGGGGAAATAGAAGAATGAATAGCTATGAAAATTACTTTATGATTTTTAAAATAATGTATAAATACAAATAACCTTTAAGCTGGTAAACTAATGAAATGATGCAGAGTAAAGACGTTGGAATTATTTTAGGAATACTGGTAAATTGGGGCACAAATTTTTGGGGAGGGTTTGGAGAAGTTATGTAGAATGATCTGCCCTTGTGTAGAGTGTGTGTTCTTTCTATATATAAGTTATATAGCCTCCTTTAGAATTGATACTGTATATAATTTTAAAAATCTGTTATCTTTCCTCAGGTACTTAAATTAGGGGGTGGTAAACAGATTGGTTTGGCTGGGAAAAACAACCAAGAAATGAAAAATCAGCTAGAGAGAAAATGTGCATAGGACATCAAGGATTAGGGGTTTAGATTTCTGTAAGTAATCGAAGTAATTCCTAGTCAGGGACATGAGGAAGAATATTTTAACTGACATAAAATGTATTATTGGGAAGACAGAATACAAAGACAAATCCAAAAAATGTATTATTGGGAAGACAGAATCCAAGAATGCAGAATCCAATCCAGGTTAGAATGCTTAGGATTTTGAATGAAGTTCAGACCGTAGAAAGAAAGGCCTCTATGTAGGATCAATTAGAATCAATAGGGTTTGGTAATAGAGCACAGAGTTGAGACTTTAAATTTGAGTCTACAGAACTAGAGTAATAACAGTCCAGAGAAAATCTGAAAAGAGTGGTTTATGGGGGAGGGTTGTGTTTTTTTTTAAGTTATTAGTTACATTACTTAGAAGCAGAATCTGCATCTTGTTGCAGAACATAACTAGTTTGTTTCAGTGAATGGTACTTAAGTTCTTCAGTTGTTTCCTTGTTATTAAAGTTGAAACTTTATTGAAGTAGAAATTCTCTCTTGAGCCAAGTTTTTTTCTGTCTGTAGTTGTGTTTTGTTTTTGTTTTGCTTTTTTTCCTCCGTCATAACACGAGCCTGGTCGGGAAAGATAGATTGAGTTCAGAACAGCTGCTTATCAGAAGAGAAAGTTTGTAACAGAATCTTGAATCCTTAAAAAAAAAAAAAAAAAGTTTGGACACTTGTTTTGCAATTTTTCTGGTCCCTACACACAGAAAAGGTTTTAACATTATGCCTTAAAAATTGCTAGGTACCTCCTAAATCATTCAGCCTTTATATATGAGTTTTCTGGAATCTTTTGTTCACAGTTCTGATTTATTTATTTTTGGTTTTTGTTTTGTTTTTTAATTTGTTTCTTGGTGGTAGCTATTTAGAGCTAAGATTTTTATATATTTTAAATGACATCTTCTCTTTTTCTCCCTAGCTCAACATTGTAAAATAAATCCATCAGAATGACACCTTCTCAGGTTACTTTTGAAATAAGAGGAACTCTTTTACCAGGTATTGTAAAATTTTACTTTGAAACAAAATTTTACATGAGTATTTTTTTATCTTGATTATCTTAAATATGCAGTTTGTTATTACAATAGGACTAATTTTTAGATGAAACTATCTTTAGAACTTACCTTATTTTTCAGAAATGTGCTTGGAGTATAGTATACTTAAGGGGGCGCCTGGGTGGCTCAGTCGTTAAGTGTCTGCCTTCGGCTCAGGTCGTGGTCCCAGGGTCCTGGGATCGAGCCCCGCATCAGGCTCCCTGCTCGGTGGGAGGCCTGCTTCTCCCTCTCCCACTCCCCCTGCTTGTGTTCCCTCTCTCACTATCTCTCTCTCTCTGTCAAATAAATAAAATCTTAAAAAAAAAAAAAAAAGAAAAGAAAAAAAACCATACTTCCCCAAATAGTAAATGTCTTAGTCTCATATTTTCCAAGAAAGCTGTGAATTTATTTAATTTTGCACAGGACGAAGATAGTGGGACTAACCATGAAAATGAGGGAAATTTTGCTAGTGCAAGAAGTTGGTGAACTATTTGGTTAGATAATTTTGTTCCCTATTTGTAAATTTTTTGGCTTATTTTATGTTTTGCTGTCTACTAAAGCAGTGTGAAGTAATTTTAGGGTAAATAGCATATCAAAATAGTATCATGCCTGGGGTATGTATCTCCTTATTTAATATACTCACTATACTGGCCAGTTCCTCAAATCTGTTACATTCTTTCCCTCTTTTGGGCCTTTCTCAAATTGTTTCCTCTGTCTGGATCTGTGGCCTCCCTTCTCCCCTTTAACTCTCCTTAATGCCAACCCCACATTTAGCTAGGTTAGGATCCCTGTGAAATTCAGGGTTCCAGGACTTTTCGTAGTACCTTACAGATTTTATGGAATTATTTGAGTAATTTTGTTTATGGATAGATTGTAAGCTCTGTGAAAATGTGACTTTGTCTTGTCATGCTGAGTGCATGCATCTAACACAGTGCCTGGCTCAGAATAGGGGTAAATATGTGTTCAAAGAATGAATAAATGATTCACTCTGTATATTCAGCATCTTTGGTCTAGCAGCCATCAGAGCGATGTAGGAAAGATGTCATTAGGGTTCAAAGCCAATGGCCAAGAAAGAATTCTTGAGATGTCTTTGGTGCAAAAAGGTGGTTTTATTAAAGCACAGGGACAGGACCCTTCGGCAGAAAGAGCTGCATCGGGGTCATGAGGAGTGGCCCATTATATACTTTCAAGTTGGGAGGGGGTTAGGGATAGCATAAGTCTCTAAGGAATTTTGGAAGCAAGGTTTCCAGGACTTTGAGGGGGCTAGCTATTGTTGGGAAAAGGTAATTTATTACTGCCTAATAAAACCTTAGTCATGAGACCCTTCAGATGTATATCGGTGTGCCATATGCTTGGGGGATGATTACCAACACATATCTTGGGGGGGGTTAGAGCTAAAGGAAGTTTCCAAAGGAATTTTTATATGTTAAAGTAGACTTACAGGATTGGGGGGGCGGTCAGACTAGAATTGTTTTTTGCCCTTAGCAAAGTATTAACATCGAGGCAGTTGAGTCCCTAGAGGAATGTCACTCTGCCTCTTTCAAGGACTTGTCAGTGGGCTGTACGTAGTAAGGAAATTTAATAATTTTTCTTCTGCCTTTGTTTCCCACATCAAGAGCAGTTGACAGAGTGTATGTTTGTCCAAGTTAAATTCTTCGCCAAGATGATCTGGTAGAGAGCTCCCATCTCTGGGCAGGATTCTGCAGATTGAAGATTGCTAGTGGCTGATAGGTTGGCTCACTTGGGTCAAGAGCTCACCTTAGTCCAGTGTATAGCCTTCTCTGTGGAGAGAAGACTGCAGAGCGGTATCATATCCTTTCAGGGAATTGTACACAGGCACTTTAAGTTAAAAGGAGCTGGCCATGTCAGGCATAGGGACCAACCACAGAATTATCCCTAGAAGGGTGAGCTTGATGAGGGTCTTATTCTCAAGGACTAGAGGGAAGATAGTGGTGGATGTGAATGTAAGAGAGGACCATGTACACAGCAACATGTATGACTTTGGGAATGAATATTTATATTTAGCAATAGCATTTATCTTTCTTTTTAATCAGAGAAGGTGGTGATAACCTAAGTTAATTACAAAACAAAATCTGGTTACTCTAAAGAATTGGTGAATATTTTGATACGAAATCTCTATATGTAACCACTCTATGCTTGACAAACATGTATTTAGAACCCCAAAAGCTCCTGAGTGATTATCGCACTTGAAATTTTAGTTAAGTTTTAGACAGTCCAAGCTTATAGAATGCTCACGCAGGTGGTTAAAGCCACCTACAATTCTGGCTTTACTAGAGTAGTGCTTAAAAGCCACTCAGAATGTGGAGGAGTTTGTCTTGAACTTTGTTCACTTGGCCTCAGTTCATTATCTTTTCTTTATGAATTTTAATTACAGTAATTCAGAATGTATTGCTATGTAAGTCAAAGTCTTCTCCACTTATATCCAATAATTTTTTTAAAGATTTATTCTCTCTTTAGAGAGAGCATGTGCAAGCAGGAGTAGCAGGGGTGCCAGAGGGAGAGGGCGAGAGAGAATCTCAAGCAGACTCCCCACTCAGTGTAGAGCCCAATGCAGGGCTCGATTCCACGACCCAAGATCATGACCCAAGCTGAAACCAAGAGTCGGACGCTCAACTGACTGAACCATCCAGGCACTTTGAAGTTGTAGACTTTTACTGAATGTATGTAATTCAGCAAATACAGGTGACAGCTATATTTTCGTTTGTCTGTTGATGAGAAGTCTTCAGGTAAAACAATAGTCATTATTTTAGTAAGGAAAACTAGATTTTTCACTATGTAAGTCTTTGTTTTGAGGATTTTTTGTTATTGTTGTTGTCCCCACTGATAATTTTCTTAATCTTTAGCTTGTTAATAGCCACTGTTTGAGTTCCTGGAAAATAATGGTTACTGTTTCTCTAGAATACTTATGTGCATTTAGTGTGTGCCTTTTTAAATCAGAAACTGCCTTGGGGCGCCTGAGTGGCTCAGTCGTTAAGCATCTGCCTTCGGCTCGGGTCATGGTCCCAGGGTCCTGGGATCGAGCCCCGCATAGGGCTCCCTGCTCTGCGGGAGGCCTGCTTCTCTCTCTCCCACTCCCCCTGCTTGTGTTCCCTCTCTCGCTGTGTCTTTAAAAAAAAACATTTAAAAAAAAAAAATAAATCGGAAGCTGCCTTGAAGGCAGGAACTGTGGCATGATCACTTTGTCTTCTTGGTGCTTGTTTATTGGCTCAGTTAAGTGGTTGAACAAATGAAGAATAGTTCACCTCTATACATCCCTCCTTTTCTTTGGTTTTGGTTCTTTAGAGGTAGGTCAAGTTAAGAATGCAGGTGTTGGTGCGGTGCCTGGGTCTGACGCATGTCTCCAGGGAGGCTCCTCCCATCTCTGCTAAAGGTGACTGCATCCAGGTTCTAGTGGAACTGACTGCTCTTTTCGTGCTTCCTAGAACTAAAATTTGAAACTTTCCTGCTTAGCCCACTATAACTGCTTGTTCTGTTTCTTTAGGAGAAGTTTTTGCCATATGTGGAAGCTGTGATGCTTTGGGAAATTGGAGTCCTCAGAATGCTGTGGCTCTTCTTCCAGAAAATGAGACAGGTGGTGAAAGGTAAGAAGGGAAATAACAGGTTACAGAATAATTGTGACATCCAGATTAGAAATTTGGGGGGTTTCTAAGATACCCTTCATATATTTTTTCTCTTTTAGTTTTAATTTTTATGACCGTTCTTGCATGTGCATAGAGTGAAGTAGTTGTACAAGGTTGGTTATAAAAAAAAAAGTTTCTGTTTCTCAATTTCCCACTTCAACCATTTTCAATTTTCGGCTGGTTCTTTTGGTAGTTACCACCATATTTCTAAATAACAGGCTTATATTGCTATTTCTTTTTTTTTTTTAAGATTTTATTTATTTATTTGACAGAGAGAGAGAGAGAGCTAGAGAGGGAACACAAGCAGGGGGAGCGGGAGAGGGAGAAGCAGGCTTCCTGCCGAGCAGGGAGCCTGATGTGGGGCTCGATTACAGGACCCTGGGATCATGACCTGAGCCGAAGGCAGATGCTTAACGACTGAGCCACCCAGGCACCCCTCTATTTCTTATTTTTTTAAGCTTTTTTAAGGTATTATGTTTTGGCTCTCAGTATATATTCTTTTTTTTTTTTTTTTTTTAAGATTTTATTTATTTATTTGACACAGAGAGAGAGCACAAGTAGGAAGAGCAGCAGGCAGAGGGAGAGGGAGAAGCAGGCTCCCCACTGAGCAGGGAGCCCCATGGGGGACTGGATCCCAGGACCCTGGGATCATGACCTGAGCCGAAGGCAGTCGCTTAACCAACTGAGCCACCCAGGTGCCCCTATATTCTTTTTTTTTTAAAAGATTTTATTTATTTATTTGAGAGAGAGATCAAGAGAGAGAGCACACCAGTGGTGGTGGGGCAAGGGCAAAGGGAGAAGGAGGAGCAGACTCCCCGCTGAATAGGGAGCCCGATGTGGGGCTCGATCTCAGGACCCCAGGATCATGACCTGAGCTGAAAGCAGATGCTTAATCAACTGAACCCCTCTCAGTACATATTCTTGATAAAAGATCTGATTTTTGCTTTGGCCTATAAAATAATTTTCTGTAGCAGAGAAGTGGAACAGGTATTTTAGTTAATGTTCTGAAATGAGTTTGCAGCCGACATTAAACACAGCACTAAAGTTAGCATGGGTGTATTGGTGCATTGCAGTGGGGAAAGAAGGGCCTGGGTGCTGGTTTCAGTTCTGCAGTTAACTGCAATCTTGGGCAGATCTAATTTCTCTAGGCCTGGGTTACCTCATCTGCATGGTAAAAGGGTTAGGACAGAATCAGTGAATATTGACGAAGATGGTACTTCTTCACTTGGGGATATTTGGAAGCATTATGGGTTGTAAAGATTATGTGTGGGAGGTAAGGAGAGAGGAGATCTTAAACAGTATACAAATACATGCAGTGGCCCTAGGGAGAAACACCAAATTACATGATTATTAAGCTCAAATTGTTTTCCATGTAGAGCAGTGCTACTGAAAATGTGGCCTGTGGGCCACTGCTAGAGAAAAAAAAACTTTAGTTTTTCTAATAATCAGTGCATTATGTGAGAAATATAGAAATTAAGAGCAATCATTTAGAAATGTTTATAGCACTTTGACATTGCTGGGACATTCATGCATGTCCTTGTGGACTCATCTCTGTTGCACTGGATACATAGAATTATTGGTTACAGGACAGACAAACAAAAACTTGTCCTTCACAACAGATAGCTTGAGGAGCACTGATGGCAAAGCAAAAGAAAGAAACAATACAGTACCATAATGCAAATTAAGGAAAAGAAAAACAGGGGCGCCTGGGTGGCTCAGTCAGTTAAGTGCCTGCCTTTTGTGCAGGTCATGATCCCAGGGTCCTGGGATCCAGTCCCCCATGGGGCTCCTTGCTCAGCGGGGAGCCTGCTTCTCCCTCTGTCTGCGCTCCCCCTCCTTGTGCACTCGCACTTTCTCTGACAATATAAATGAATAAAATCTTAAAAAAAAAAATCTATAAAACACCCTTTTCCTATTTGTCATTAGTGTGACACTTTTTCTCAGCCAATTCTCAGCTGTTTTTATAAGTAAAGTTTAATTGGTAAATAATATTGGAATCACAGAGGAACGAAATGTTTATTCCCTTCAAGTGGCTATTTTTTCTTCCATTTTCAGATCAGTCTGAAGTAAAACCGTATATCTTTCTGAACTTGTTCCTAAAACACACCTTGCCCTGAATGCTTGAGCTGCCCTGTCACATGTCTTAAGTCCATTTCAGCCAACCTGGTCAAAGTTATGTGAACAGATGAGATAATACTTAACTACGTAACTTGAAGGGACCAACCACTTTACCTTGCTGATGCACATTGAAATGTAATTGATTCATATATGGCAGATAAACAGTGTTTCACATGGAGAAAGGAAGTAGATGATACAAGAGGATACAAAAAGCATTTGCTTTGAACACCATTCTTGTGTTTTAGAATTGTGTTTATTTGGATTTCAGTGTTGTGCATCTAAGCCCTTTGTACAAAGCTCTTTTTCAGAGTCTCTCAAGCTTCTCCATAGCTATAGGTTTGTAGTGACAAGAGCGCTGTTAGGATTTGTTTTTTCAACTTACAGATAATTTGAAAGTCATAGTATTGTTTTCTAATAATGCAGAAAATGTGGGTCACTTGTCGTTTTATTTGCTCTTGTAGATTTTATGGTATTTTGGGGGAGGATATGAGGTCATTCAGAATCAGGCAGGTGCACTGAGCCTCATTGCCCCTCTGTCCTGACTTCTTGAATTTCATCAGATTATGTTCATTTTTTTTTTTAAAGATTTTATTTATTTATTTGAGAGAGAGAGAGAATGAGAGACAGAGAGCATGAGAGGGAGGAGGGTCAGAGGGAGAAGCAGACTCCCCGCCGAGCAGGGAGCTTGATGCGGGACTCGATCCCGGGACTCCAGGATCATGACCTGAGCCGAAGGCAGTCGCTTAACCAACTGAGCCACCCAGGCGCCCAGATTATGTTCATTTTCTATGTCACTGAACAGTTCTGGTTCATTTTTTTTTTTTTTTTTTAAGATTTTATTTATTTGACAGAAAGAGACAGCGAGAGAGAGAACACAAGCAGGGGCAGTGGGAGAGGGAGAAGCAGGCTTCCCGCTGAGCAGGGAGCCAGATCTGGGGCTCGATTCCAGGACCTTGGGATCATGACCTGAGCCGAAGGCAGCCGCTTAACTGACTGAGCCACCCAGGCACCCCAGTTCCAGTTCATTGTTAACTTTGCAACATTTACTTAGGGAAATGGAATAAAAAAACTCATTGCTTTGCTCTCTCCATCGCTTTTCATTTAGCAGTTCTTAACCAGGGGCACACGTTAGACTCACTTGTGAGGGCTTTAAAAAATACACATGTCTAGATCCTACCCCTGGGGGATGAGGAAGTAGGCATGAGAGAGGGGCCCCAGCACATTTTTCAGAGCTTCCCGCTAATTCTGTACACGTCTGGCGCTGGCTTCACATACTCTGACTGATTTATGAATGAAATAGTGCTAGAAATTTGCCATTTTTTTGTAGCAGAGATGAGAAATAATTGCACCTCAGAGTTGGTAGATACGTCTGCCTGGAATGCTGTGTTGAAAAGGATTCTGAGGCTTATCAGGGAAAAGTAGTGCGGGCGCATGTGCCGAGCATTTGCCGTTCTTGTTTTATAGCAGTGGCCCTCAACTAGCCTTCTATCTTCACCTACCCTGTGAAGTTTTATCAAACTCCACATGACCGGGCTCCACCCAGACCTCTGAATTCAGAGTCTCTCAGGGTGGAGCCAGGGCATATGTATTTTATTACTACCAGATTAATCTGATTGTTGACCATGGGTGACAGGTGGTTGTGGATATTTTGTTAGGAACCCAGGATTGAGTCCGAGTGGGGATAATGCCCTAAAGCCTGCCTTGGCAGAGCCAGGTGCGAAGCAGTGCTAGCCATCTGGTATCGGGGAAGAACATTTGGAGCTGCTGTTTATTCACTAAACTATTCATGCTGAATTAATGTTTGGGTAATGGTCTGTGACAGTGCCTCTCAAACTGAAGTGTTCATCATCAGAGTCACCTGGAGGCTTGTTAAATTACAGATTGCTGGACTCTCCCCCCCAGAGTTTCTAATTCAGTAGGTCTAGGTGTGGCCTGAAAATTTGGATTTCTAACAAACTCCACGGTGATATTGATGGTCCTTGGATCATACTTTGGATAGCACTGGTCTATGATTGGAAGGTAATAAAAATCATTTATAATCATGAGTTGTAGTGACTGCTTTCACTGTTGAGTCAAAGCTTTAGAGTAGTGGTAGACTGTGTTGGCATAGCATAGGTCAGAAGAAGACCCTGAGTTGAAACAAGTAAGATACGGATCCCAATTGCTTGGCGAGGGGAATAGCCAGAGGCTGGGCAGGACAGTCAGGATAAGGGACAGTTGGGAACATGAGTATAGCTCATCTGCCTCAGCCCCAAAGCCTCTTAGCAGCCCTGTAACATCTCTAAGTGGGAAGTCAGAGAAGATTCTGACTGTCGCTTCCACCTTCGTGCTACTTTTTCTGTTTGGAATACTTCTTGTCTTTGTATGGCTGGTTCCTTCTCATTGTGTAGGACTACTCGCAGACTGTTCTTCCTCATTGAGGCCTCTCCTCCAAAACTTCCTGTCACATCAGAAAGGTCAAATAGCCCTTGCTATGTATGTTTGGTGATTTGTTTGTCTACCCTCACAAGAAAGCAATCTGCTTAAAGATAGGGCTCTTTCTGCCTTGTTCATCACTGTGTTCCCAGTGCCTGGTGCAGGGTAGGCCTGGAGTATAATTTTGTGTAGGAATAAATAAGTGGTATTGGTCACAGACCTAGCTGGAGGGGTTTTATGAATTATGAAGTCTTTATGCATTTTAATTTGATATTAATGCTTCTGCTCTTTTTCTTCACAGCATGTTATGGAAAGCAGCCATTGTACTCACTAGAGGAGTATCAGTTCAGTATCGCTACTTCAAAGGGTGCTTTTTAGAACCAAAGGTATGTTTTCTTTTATCTAGTTTCCAGTTTCTTTAACAAACTTACTTCTTTTAAAAAGCAACTAATTTCAGTTTGCAAACATTGAAAGTAATGAGTTTGTTTTGATCAAATAAGGAAAACAGAACTCTAGATTAATAATATTTTAGTGCTAAAAAGCAAGCAAGTAGCCACTTCAGAGGCAGACGATGTCTGCAGTGGAATTTTTAAAAGACCAATAGTAAGTATACTCTGCAGTATTCTTGTTATGAAATTGGTTTTAATGATAAATGAGTGTTCTCAGTAGCTGTGCTTTTTCTGTAACTTTTGTAAACCTGTTAGTAACCAGTTAAAAGGGTTTTCTTTTTGTTTCATTTTTTAATCCTTATGTGGTATAAATACATTTGAAAGAGTATATAGCCAGCTTTAAGTGAGTAATCATTTTAAAAAATTATTTCACAACAGCCATCTCTTAGTGGCTGCATTTGTTTTAACTCCTATCAAAACTGAAAGTCATTCCTCTTAGATTTTTTTCAACCATGGTGTTGATAGATTAGGATCTTTTCTGAAAGCCTTTGGAGTATCTGTAAAATCTAATCTGCTTGCTCACAATGATTTATTATTTTGGGATTGTTTTCATATTTAGAAAAGAAAAAAAGTTGATTCTTTCCCTCTTATTTTAAAGATGCTTATTTCCTGAAAGGATTCTTTTCCTTCAGATTTTTATCTTTGAGCACACTTAGGCTGCATGTGAGCAGGGGTTTAGGCAGGAGTCTAGGAAGCAGAACATGGATTAAACCGTTTTAAAATTTTATTTCCCTTTGGGATCATTGAATACTTGTTACATGTGAAAAATGCAAGCAGCCGCTGTTACCTCATTCTCTTAGCCACCATTACAGAAAAGAAAAAACTGACAAAGCCACTTCAGCTGTCTTTTGCACCTATTACGTTTCTTATTCCAAGAATATATTGTAAATACTCAGTGATTAAAATTACATTATGGTTGATCATCGTGTTGGCTTATCTTGACAATAGTCTCATTTTAATGACTTAAGATCATTTGTTTGGCATAAGGGTTATGCATTGTGGCAAAGTTTTTCAGTTTAAATTGAACAGTTGTGCAGTGATAAGTAGGTCATAGCACTCGACATTGAAAGTTTATTTGAGGATCCTGGTATGTGAAATTTGTAGTATGTGAAATCAACTAAATTTTACTTAAAGGGGCATTTGGACAAGAAAAATCAAAATGCGTCCTTTGGGCATAGTTTTCTAAAGTAAGACTATTGTCAACATAGATCAAATTAAGCCAACCTACAGTATTTTCCCTCTTCATTGAAAATGTAACCAAAAGCAGCAAATCAGTCCAAACTGCCTTTCTGAAAAAATTGGCAAGAAGTCTGCTTACAGTAAAAAACAAGTTTTTCCCCTTGTAATACTTGCAAAAGTTTACAGTATGTGTTGGTGAGTGTGTTTCTTTAAGTAGGTGCTCTGTATCGTGTACACATGTACCGTGTGATGCAGGGGCTGCCATGGTAAGTATGTTTTTCATGGACTAGAGTAAATAGCTACATAAAATCCCATGCATATAGCTAGAGGTTTTTTTTTTTCCCACATGCCAGCTTAAAGTGACACTTTTCTTTTAAAAGTTGGTGGCGCTCTTTAAATGAAACATAATTTTAAATAGAAATAATTATGAAACTTTGTCTCAGTTGTGCATTGTCAAATGATAAAACTAATGTGCAGAGAATCTTAAATTGTAAAATGTAAATTATTGGAATATATATTTCATGATTATAAAGAATGATGGGAAAGCAAAGTAATTATGAAACATTGAAAAGCTGAAATGAGTAATAAGATTAATTTTGCTGAGGTAGTCTACCCAAGCATTTGTAGAGCCTAAGCTAAAAATCCTTGCGGTCTTGTCACTTGACCTTCATATTTCAGTTTTCTTATCTATAAAATGAAGGGCTTGGGCCATAGATTTCTTAGGTCCCTTCCATTGCTAAAATTTTATTGCAAATAAATAAAATTTTACCATTCATATTTTCTCCTCCGTTTTTGCTCTTTCTGGCATATTCTTTTTAGCTTAGAAGAGTCTTGAAGTCCCTTTTCTCTCAACTTTTCATAGCTACCTATTGTCTTCTACTTTGTAGAATTAGAATGAGGTGTTAATACGTTGAATTTTAAATAATTTCACAGGTGACAAATCAAAATACTATCTTGAACATAGCAAACAAAGGTTGTAGATATTCTTGGAATGAAAACACAGGTGGGAATCTGCAGATGGTCCATTTAATTTCACATCTTCACCAGAAATAATTTTTCAGTGAACATCAATTAAAACCTTTTTTTTAAAAGATTTTATTTATTTATTTGACAGAGAGAGACACAGTGAGAGAGGGAACACAACAGGGGGAGTGGGAGAGGGAGAAGCAGGCTTCCAGTGGAGCAGGGAACCCAATGCGGGGCTCGATTCCAGGACCCTGGGTTCATGACCTGAGCAGAAGGCAGACGCTTAACGACTGAGCCACCCAGGCGCCCCCAATTAAAACTTTTTTTTAATCCATTTCCATCCTTCTATACTTGTGGCCAGAATTGATGATGTAACCTGATACTGAAATGTTAGCCAATTTGTAATAATGTTGTCTGTGATTTCCCCTTCATTTCAATGGAAATAGCTTTTTATTTTCCGGTAACTTACTCTGTTTCTTATTTTCATAGGTGTTCACATTCACTCATAATTAGATTTGTTATAAACCCTTACTTTGTTCTTAATCTCCCTTGATTTATGCTTTAAATCCTTTAACAAAAGAATCAATCATCTGTGATAGGCGCACATCATTGTTTATTTTCAGAATAGCCCAGGTATCTTACTTCGTGTAGCGGTTTTCTTAATAAAATTCTTCTGGTTGCTAAATACCCTCAGCTGTTAATCTCAAACTTGAACCATCTCACAAATGTCTGTCTGCCTAGCTTTCTTCACCTCATACTTATTCATAAGTGACCATTTTTCTTATTAGTCTTTTTAAAAATCATGATTTTTAAATGACTGTTGGTCTGGCCTTGCCATCACAGATAAAAATTCCTCAGAGCCCTTTTTACATGTACCTTTTTTTTTTCCCCCAAAATGGGGAAAGACAACAGTAAAATTTTGGAAGCTACATTTTTCATGATATTTGAAAGCAGTGATACTACATGACTAGTTGATAATTTTCCTACGTTGTTTGTTCAAAACAAAACAGACCAAAAACCTCAGTCTACATATTGTTTCAGTGCTTGATGTAGCTGAGTAATGTCGGTCATTGTTTAAGAAAGCAGTCATTATGCTTTTCTTTCTTTGCAGAAATAGATTATTTTGTGTTTTTATTAATATGCTTGTTTTAAAACATTTCAACAATCATCTGATTTAATATATGTTAAATTGTGAAACAACTCTATCAATACTATTGATGGAATAATGTCTTGGACTGGTGATGTTACTTTTTTCTTCAAAGATCCACCTTGCACTTGACTCCAGAGTGCTTAAAATTATGGCAGCCTTTTATAGAATGGAACTGTTCTTTTTTCTAAGATCTTGAGGAATGAATGAGTTTATTACATTTAGCATATTAAAAAGGATTGCATGTTTTGGAGTCATTACTGAGATTTTTAATTTCCTAGTGCTCAGGGCTTAAATATTTAAGACGTTCAGTAAGCTAAAATTGAAGATTACCTTCTAAAGTTTAATATAGTAGTATAATTTTGAAAGTTCGCTGTATTTTAAAACTTGGTAGATTTTTTTTCTTTATTATAACTCTTTGTTGTACCAACAAACATGGATTTGTAGTGTGAACGCTTGTATACCCAATTAGAAGTCATCCTTTGAATCAGCTCTTTGGATTGCTCCTCAAACGCTCCATTCTGTTCAAGCCTAGGTTATTTTATGCTGTGAGTAGTGGGTTTGCTACTAAAGCAGATGAGGGTGGAGTTATTAAAATATTATTAAAATATGTTTTCTACCAAATATTTTATCCACAAGGCTATTCTGACAGGATTAGATGTAGATATTATAGTCAACACTTTGTAAAGTTCCCCTGACACTGAATTGATACTAAAACAGAAACAAACTCTCTGTTCTTCTATCCACTTCTTATCCCTGCTGATATTTAATAGTATGTTCCTGGCACCCTTTGAAGTCACCTTTGGTTAGTAACTTCTATAAGAATGTAGATCTATACCATCTTTGTAGCAAAGAGGAAATTTTTGGGGGAAGGCAGGTGTGCAGGGGACATGAGAGGAATGGGGGAAGGGTATAGGTTAGATCTTTCTGGCTACTCTGTTGCTAAGAAACATTGTTCCTTTCTTAATGTATATATTTGCATCTTTTGAGGATCAGAAAGTTTGATGTTTAAGAAACAAATTCAAAAAAATGTGACGGGAAAGTCGTAGTAAAAAACATCTAGCAGATGTAGGATTAAATGTATCTCCCTTTTTTTTAGTGTAAAGGAAATGAAATTCATTATATTTAAGATGAGCGGTTTCACAGTAAAAAAAATTTTTTTAAAACATCTGCCCAGTCTGCCAACTCATAAGTTGAACCCTTAAAACAAGGAGGTATTCAGCTAGAGAAAATGAGGATTTGCTATCTTATCCCATTTGCTGTATGATTTGAATGAATATCTAATGCTATTTTAATTTTCAAAGTTCAAAAGTTTGCAAGTTTTAAAAAAGATTTCAATCTCTGGTTATTTTTAAGTAGCGGAATATCTCTTGCATTTAATTACTTAATGTGCCTAATTTGTCTCATACTCGTTTATTATCATTTGGCACATTTATTATTAATCAATATTGAAACCTGTAAAATGATTACAGAAGAGTATTTAATACCATCTAAAGGTGTACACAATATATAGAGAGAAGCTTATATGTTCTATGCTTTCTAAGAGTATGTAATATATGCCTAGAAAAGGGCTTTTGAAGATTATGTATGAAAATATCAATAGTGATTATCCCTAAGTGGTGTGATAATGAATGATTTTTGTGTTTTCTTTTTGCTTTTTTGTATTTTATTAAAATGTTTTCTGAAGATGTGAAGAGAAATGTAAAATACCTTGTAAGGTTACCGTTGAAATTTTGCTTCTAAAATGTCTATTTAACGGTTTTGTTTCGGCACATAAGTTAGTCAATTTTTTTTTTAATAATTGGAAGAAAATTAGGAAGCATTTAGTTAGTAGTTAGTCCTTTAGGTGTACATAGGGAATCTTAGTTGATAGTTCATTTTTGTTTTTAAATTGCTGTAGATGTTAACATAGAAAGCTTTATTTTCCCTTTTAGTAAGAGGACTTGATAACAGAAGACTATTAGAAGTATGTATGAGTTTATGAACTGTAAGACTAGATGGTAGTTCCCTTTTTGTCAGACTTATTCTTCAAATTTACTCATGCACATGTACTTTCTTTTAGGGTTTTCCTGTGCTTTTTAGAAACACTGGTTACTATGATACAAGAAATCTGATGTTCTTCCTGTTATTTACTTACTATAATAAAGAACTTTGTTATGCCCTCTAGTTCCTTGTGATCATTGATCTTGAAGTACTTGTACCTACTATTCCTACTATCATAGAGTATAGGCTTTTCCCAAACACTTGGAGAGTTATTTGAGATGACTTTATTCAGTTATAATACCTCATTGACCACTGACAACCAAGCATAAAGTATATTTGGTGTTAACTTTAATTTATGGGAACAGAACATCAGCTAAATACGAAAATTTCTTTAAAACAATTTGGAGTATCGTAGGCAGATTTAAGAAAGGGTTTAAGATGGTTTTATGTTGCCAGTTTCATCTCCTTTTTCTCTGTTTACTGCCTCACTGTCCTTTTCTTCCAGCACTCATAATGTTTTGTGAGATGGTACATTCCGGATTTTTGACATATAATATTGATAAATAACAAGATGAATCTTTTGGTTTCATATTTAGTATAAGATTTAGGCCACAAACATCTAATGGAGTCATGGGTAGAAAATAAGATATAAGAAATTATTGCAGACGTTTAACTTTTAAATTGCAGACTATCGGTGGTCCATGCCAAGTCATAGTTCACAAGTGGGAGACTCATCTACAACCACGATCAATAACCCCTTTAGGTATGGGCATTAACTGCATCTGTTTGAGGCATATGCATAAAGTTACTAATATGCTGCACAATGGCTTAGTGGGATTTAATAAATTTTTATTCTAAAGTTTAAGGTCAATGCATTGTCAGTACTGCAAATTTCACTTAGCATATCATGGATCTTTTAAAACTAAACAGTTCTTAATTGCCTTTCTTCATAAACTTTGTTAGAAATGCTTGCCAAGTTATTTTTATTTGGGGGGATTAGATTAATTTATTGTGGAATATTTATTTTCATTTGGAGTAGTTAACAAAGTTTGTAAAATAGCATTATTCTTGACTGAGCATCCACAGCTTTATTTGATTACTTGCTCAGAGAGCTTAGAGAACATTTGAGGAAAAAATTAATCCAAAACAGATTCTTAAATTTTTAACTTTGAATTTAGTAAGAGCAATAGAATAAGTTAACCTATTTATTCTGTGTGGTTTTTTTTAACTAGTAAATACTTGATTAAACTTGTATGAATGCATTCAAATTTCTTGGTTGTAGCGTACATATTTTCTTCCTGATTTACTTAAATACCTGCTGGCTGTGTTAAAATTGATACTCAGATAGTTGGTTTTATTTTGCTCTTGTTTTTGTTTTTTTTTTTTCCCCTAAAACATCATTCAGTTTTCTTGTGCCAAAAAATGGCATTTCTCTTCATACAAGTATTTTTAAATGTCCTTTTCCATACGGAGATTAAAATTTGAAGTTCATTTCATATACATAAATTACCCACTTGGACTCATCTGTATATTCACTCGTGCTGAGAACTGTATCTTTTAGTTTCTAGAGAAAATTAGAATTTAAAGATATTAAATGGCTTGCTAGTAGCTATCTTAGATTAGAAAGTAGTGAGAGATCCTGCTTTACCTTGTGGCAAGGACACGTCTTGTTTAAACAGATATTTCATTCCATCCTCTTTATTGGATTTTCTTTTTATGTTTTAGTACATTTTTGATAGTATATTTAGAAATTTCATGAGTAGTGTACTTTAGAATTACAATAGTCCCATACTGAGGTTAGAAATTATTAGGTATTAAACATTTAAAAAATAATTTGCGTTTGGAAGCATCTTGCAGTTAAATATATTTTCTTACTGTGAGAAGTAGGATGTTTGTTTCTGGTCTTTTAAAAATTAATTTTATGCTTTTGGGAAACATAACCTCTAAACTTAAGAGCTGCGTGAAATCTACCAAGAATCTTTATTGGGAACTATCACACCTATTTTGACAAATATTTCAGACTTATATTTAAAGTTAAACTGGGAAAGGAAGTAGCAGGGAAGATCATTAGTGTTTTACTGAAGAGGGTGGGGCTTACCAGCTTTTCTTATTTAGCTGAAATTTCTGTTAGAAGGGAATGTGCTAGCACTTATTCTTTTTGTAGTTCTTCACAGCTCTGTATATACAGGTAAGTTTGTGCTGTTTCTAAAGCTTGTAGCTGGCTATAGAGAATAGTTGGGATTCGAGGAGAATTACATTTTAGATAAGTTCAGAATATGCACTACATAAGAATAAGCATTTTAATTGTGCCAAGACCTTTGGTTTAAAAAATCAACCAGGAGATATTGTTGTCCAGCAGCCTGTCTCATAAATTGGTGGGTGTAGAGGTTTGTTCCAGGGCCTCTAGAGCACCTCTCTGAGGAGTCTTCTTTCCCTTCCTTGTAACACCACGAATCATCACCAAGTCTGTAAGAACTTTTACTGTTTGATTACCTCCTTAAAAGGGAATTCTTGATTGAGGGCTACAATAAATATGCTTATTCACTTTGGGCTGCTTTTAAACTTTAGATTTCATATTTTAAAAATCCTTAATGTAGGTAATTTCTCAGTTGTTCATTCTGTATACATCATGAGTTTTAACTGTTTTTTTTATTTTCCTTCAATTCTAGAAAGTGAAATTATTATTGACGATGGACAATTTGGAATCCACAGTAAGTGAGATTTAGTTTTGACAATTTTTACTGATATGATTGAGATGTTACCTTACATTTCATTAGAAACAGCACAGGGAAATATGACTGTATGACACTGAAAATAGAGACTAGATCCAAGAAACAAGTACATTCTGTTAAATAATAGTTTCCAGTATAATCCTTAAGCTTTAAAAAATGTTATCCTTTTGGTTTTTCACTGGTGACTTCAGGTGTATGAATTAATATACTTAATTTAAGAATATACGTAACTGTTAACATATCATCACTTTTTAACCCTTATGTTTAGTATTAATGTTTCTAAACATTCTAAACTCTTAGGCTAGGTTTGTGCATTTTGTGTGTATATGCATTTACAGTAAAATCCAGATTGAGCAAAATGTTCCAGTAATTCTCCTGAGACTTTAACAATTAATTTAGAGTAGAATAGACAATCCTTTTACTTCTGAGTATGTTGAAAATGTCATGCATTCATTTATTTTTCTGCTTCACTAAATACTTTATCCTGAGGGTTCACGTTGTCTTCGGTGACTGGAATTCTCACAGTAGAATAGTGTTATCATGCTAGAGCTGCATTTTTATTTTAGATCATATACTATAGAAGTCAAAGATATAAAGGGGGTGAGCAGAATGTGTGCTTGCACTGACTGTGAACCAGAGATAAATTGCTGATACTAGGTGCCTATGTTTATGCACCTGAGAAATGTACATGCTTTGGCAATATTTGGATAGGAATTAAGCTTCTTTTCCTTAATTTTATTTGGGATTATTTATATAACATTATAAGGTAGTCTAAAATACTTGCATAGCTTTAGTTTTAGTGCTTTGGAGTCTTGTTCTGTTTATTTACAAAAGATGGTATTTATGCTACATGTTTTAGAGAGCTTGTTGGATGGAGAAGTAGCTTTCTCATGTCCTTAACTGTAAGGCATGACATCATATTCCTCTATTGTATGTTAATATCTATGCAGTTACAAAGGCAGGCATTTCTTTCCTCTTTTGTAGTTCTCTTAAACTCAGCTTTAGTTAGCTGTCAGGATGGAAAACCGTCTCTCCAACTTTGTCCATTTCTGAGAACAGTTTAAAATTAAGAGAGGATGGTGGTTTCTCTTTATTTTTAAAATTTGATAATTATTGAAACTTTTAAAGTTATACCTAAAGAGAAAAACTTCTGGTTTTTTTTAAGTCCTGTTGATAAAAAAGTTAGGTCCAAAACAGTTGACAGCTTTCTGGTATTTATGAACATTTTATGACATATGTTAGCAGGAAACTTCAAGTTAAATAATGCTAACACAGTGTTATCACAATCCTGCCATTTATGTTAGAACTTATAAGGCGAGAATAAAAAATTGGCTCACGGTTTTGTTCTTAACCTTCTCATGTCTCAAGCTCCAGCTTTAGTGGTAGAACTAATTTCAGCTGAATAGCTCATATGAATGACGCTTTGGAAGTGTGACAGTGGCCCTCCGTGGAACAACCGCTAGGTTAGAGCCAGTGAGGAATGTGGTATTCTTTCAGAAATTGATGCTATTACCTCGATAATGGACTCGGTACGAAATTTTAATTTCCTTGAGTTGTTAAATGTGGCTGCTTGTTAACATTGAACTTTTTTCCCCCCTACTTCATATAAAAGTTTTTGAGTGATAAATTTAAGACTACCTGTGTGTTTGCTTTGGAGAGAAGTTCCAGTGATACATAAACTGTGTATATTAAAATGTGAACATGAACTAGATTGTTTCAAAAAAGTATGTATAATAATTACTGTTCTTCATATTTACTCTGCCAGATGGTGTTGAAACTCTGGATTCTGGATGGCTGACATGTCAGACTGAAATAAGATTACGTTTGCATTATTCTGAAAAACCTCCTGTCTCAATAACAAAGAAAAAATTAAAAAAATCTAGATTTAGGTATGACCATGTGTATTTGTTACTTAGGCTACTTATTTTTACTAATGCTGTAGATTTCTGACCCATTTGTTTTTAGCCTTTAAGTGTATAAATTAAGAACATAACACACTTATAGGTGTTATATTTTCTTATTGAAGGGTCTTGTGAGAGTGAACTGCTTCCCTGACTCAGATTGTTCCAGTTAAACTGGAATTCTCTTAGTATTAATTGCTAAATTTGAAACCAGAAAATTTTCTTTCTATATAGATAAGTGATTTCCAAGTGTATGTATCTTTGTGGTTTCTACCATTCAAAATTTCTTTTTTTTTTTTTTTTTTTTTTAGGATTTTGTGTTTATTTATTTGAGAGAGAGCCTAGTGAGAGAGAGAGAGAGAGAGAGAGAAAGCATGTATGTGAGCTGGGGGAGGAGCAGAGGGAGAGGGACAAGCACATTCCATGCCGAAATCCCATGATCTGAGATCATGACCTTAGCCGAAACCAAGAGTTGGACATTTAACCTGCTGAGCCACCTAGGTGCCCCCATTTAAAATTTCTTAGTGTAGCAATAGTTTGTTTTAAAATTGATATGACAGAAATGAATTTGTGCTAAATGAGGGGATAATGGTATAAACAGAGAAAAATGATTATTGGAAATATACTTTGGTGTTCTAAAGTGTTCCTATGGCTTGAAAATGAAAATTTCATGAAGAAAGGTAGCAGTGATCATGGCAGTTCCAGATTAGTTTCTTCTTACTCCTATATTAAGAATAGATTTCAAGCTTTGTGTAAATAACTACATAGTGAGTAACTTTATTTTTCTGTAACGTCATCATACATACCTTTAAGTGAGCTGGCTTCTCAATGACCCAGGCAGCCCTGTCATTTGAGTTTTTATAACTTACGGACTGAGAGTTGTAAGTCTTGGTATGTAAGGCATCCTTTTCTGACAAAATGTCAGGGCTGGGTTGAAAGGGCCATTTTCAGCAACTGAAGTAATTAATAATACAATACTTAGTGTCTTTGTCATAAAACTTACAAGATACTGCAGGTAATAACCCATAAATTGCTTAAATACTGTAGTACTTATCCCAGTCATAAAATTAAAAAGGGAAAGGGTGAGTAACACTTCACAGTCCTTTGCATTGGTTGTTCTGAGAGGAAGTGGAAGGTTTTGGGTGTACCTTATCTTTGTGCATAGCGTATCTAGGCCTTTTTCATACATAATTGAACCCTTTTTTCTTCTAAACTTTAAATTTATTTATTTATTTATTTATTTATTTATTTATTTGAGAGAGAGAGCACCCACATGAACCCTCCCACCCCCCCCAGCTGGGGGGCGGGGGAGGGGCAGACTGGGTGGCTCAGTCAGTTAAGCCTCTTGAGTTTGGCTCATGTATTGATCTCATGGTGGTGAGATTTGGCTCTGTGCTTGGGGTGGAGTGTGTTTAACATAATTGAATCTTATTTACATGTGAAAAGAAACAAATTGTGTTACAGCTGTAAAGTGTCTTCTTAGAATAAGAACTTGAGGGGTGCCTGGGTGGCTCAGATGGTTGGGCGCGTGCCTTCCACTTGGGTTGTGGTCCCTGCTCAGCGGGGAGCCTGCTTCTCCCTCTCCCTCTGCTGATCCCCCTGCTTGTGCTCTCTCTCTCTCTCTCTCAAATAAATAAAATCTTAAAAAAAAAAAAAAAAAAGAAAAAGAGTAAGACCTTAAAATAAGGATGACTGTAGAAGATAAAGATAAACCAGATGGTTGGTTAGGCTTATGAAGATTTTTTTCTTTCTTGACTTTAGTTAAGAAATTAATAGATAATTAATGGTTGGGTTCTGCTTGCAAATTTCTGATTGCAAATGCATACTGAGTCCTATACCATTCTTGTTTATATAGAAGTTATTTTGAGTGTTAGTATATATTATTGTGTTAATCAGGCTTAAATTGGAATATTTTTGTATAACCAAACTTTGGTGGACTCTACAATAAGTAACTGATTGCTACTGAAATAATTGTGTATGGGGTACCTGGCTGGCTCAGTCTGAAGAGCATGTGACTCTTGATCTCAGGGTCGTGAATTTGAGCCCAGTGTTGGGTGTAGAGATTACTAAAAAATATATATAATAGTAATATAAACTATTAAAAAATTGTGTATAACTAGAAATTTGTGTTCTGACCACCTTTTCCCCCCAAATTCGTATTTAGTGATAAACTAAACCTCCATGAGGTAGGAAATAAATTGATCTGCAAGAATATCAGGACTTTAAAAACTTAGCAAAAGCTTATGCATTTTATTTATTTTTTAAAGATTTTATTTATTTTTTTTGACAGAGAGAGAGAGAGACAGCGAGAGAGGGAATATAAGCAAGGGGGAGTGGGAGAGGAAGAAGCAGGCTTCCTGCTGAGCAGGGAGCCTGATGCAGGGCTTGATCCCAGGGCCCTGGGATCATGACCTGAGCCGAAGGCAGATGCTTACAACTGAGCCACCCAGGTGCCCCCAGCTTATGCATTTAAATAAAATATTAAACATGCTGTTCTTTCTAATGAGAAAGAACCAGCAAGTTTGTTGTTTTTTTTTATTATCACCAAGTTTTAAGCAAGTTTCTCCTTCAGTTGACTCTATCAATAAGTGGAAAGACAGATTATAACCACTATAGAGCTATTTGAAGAAAACCTTTAACATAAATGACTAAAATTTGTTGATAAATCCCTTTAAACTTGAATTTTTTTGGGGGGGGGTAAATGCACATTGCTGTTAGCAGAATAGTTATTTTTATCTTTGTGCCTTATTGCTTATTTATTACTGTCCAAATGTGATCTCTCTTCATATATCCTGGTAGAGAATGTTCCTTCAGATTCACTAATAGAATCAGTTATCCAGAACTATTCTTTTTTTTTTTAATTTCTTTTATTTTTTAAAGATTTTATTTATTTCTTTGAGAGAGAGAGCAAGAAAGAGAGAGAGCACGAGCCGGGTGGAAGGGCAGGGAGCCCCATGTGGGGCTCGAAACCAGGACCCTGACATCATGACCTGAACTAAAGGTAGACGCTTAACTGACTAAGCCACCCAGGCGCCCTGTTTGTTTCATTTAAAAAGTACTTCTATGTAAATACATACACACATGTAAAAAGTGTGCATGCATACAAATAAACATTTAATGCAGTATATCTTTTTTTAATAATGTACTTTTCACAGAATACCTGGACTCACTGTGGTAAGGTAGAAGAAAGGTGAAAATTTTTAATTTACAGCCTCCAACTCTATAGTCTTTTTATGTACACTAACAGAATATGATTCAGTTTGGTGCTTGTTTTATACATATATTCTTTTGTGAGACTTTTCAAAAGAAGTTGAGATAGCCAGTTACAAATGAGATAATAGTAATGGTTCTATAGAAAAAGAGTTACTGAAAACAACCTTAGGCATAATGAGCATTTATCTTGTTTTAGTTCCTTGCAGAAGTATATGTAGATAAAAACATCAGTATATTATAAAACACACTAATGCCTTAACCAATAGTATGTGTAGTCTTGTATAATACCGTATTTTTGTTACTTGAAGGATTAGCATATTCAGGGAGCACTTTTTAAAGTTGGCATTTAGGTAACACTTGTATAAGTTTTCCTTTTCCATTTTTTTGCATTTCATTATTTTTTCCATTTGTGTAGGGTAAAGCTGACACTAGAGGGCTTGGAAGAAGATGATGATGATAGGGTATCTCCCACTGTTCTTCACAAAATGTCCAACAGCCTAGAGATATCCTTAATAAGCGACAATGAGTTCAAGTGCAGGCATTCACAGCCAGAGTGTGGGTATGGCTTGCAGCCCGATCGTTGGACAGAATACAGCATACAGACAATGGAACCAGATAACCTGGAACTAATATTTGATTTTTTTGAGGTGAGTAATTTTTTCACAGAGGGAGTTGAGAAAGAGTGCAGGCATGGGTTTATTTTTATATGTTTTGATTTTTATTTTAGTCTGAGTGTAAACCCATGATTCATACATCCTTTCAGATGTTTGTCTATACATTTTAGCAGGCTTAAAAAACTTGGAGTTGATAGACTCAAGTACTATAAAAAAAATTCAGCTGAATTGATGTTTTACATCAAGACCAGATGTCTTAATATCTGTGCCTGTTCTTTTTTTTTTTTTTTTAAACCAACGTGGGGCTTGTACTCACAACCTCGAGATCAAGAGTTGCGTGATCGACCGAGCCAGCCAGGTGTCCCTGTGCCTATTCTAAATATAAATGAATAATATCCAAAGGAGCCTCCAAGAATAGAGGGACGAGTGGACGTATGACTCTTGATGGGCCGCCCAGTGTAACTAACATGATTGAGTCCTCCTCATGACTGAAGTCTGTGGTTTATTGAGGCATTTTTATAATAAGAATTCCTAACAGCAGACTCATTTTTACAACTTTGCTTGATAGTATAAATATGTACAAAAAGAGTTGCTATGAAGATTGTGCCAGGTTGTTCAGAATCTGCTACCAGCTTTCCAGAGCTCCTGCGACTCAACATGAGACCCCTCTGGCTTGGGGCGTTCAGGGGTTCTCGTCTTCATAAGTCAGGCTGGGTCCTTGGCTAAGGTCCTCGCTTTACTCTGCCCAGGTAGTGGTTCTGTGTACTGCTTTCCATAGGCTCTGACTCTTTGGCACTTCCACTCCCATTTCCATTAGACGAGAGACCTAGCCACAGTTTTGTGAAAATAGCGGAATACAGGATGGATTTAAACCCACAAGTAACATTTGTTACACTTGTTAAAATCATTATAGTCTTTGAATTATTTAATTTGATGATGCCTTTATGCATCGCCTTTGCAACTGGCTTTTTGTATGAAAAAGCTTTTTGCATTGTATGAAATATAAAGTGTTTCCTTTCAAAAAGCTATAATAAAGAATTTTATTTTTAAAAAACCTGTAATTCGATCTTACCCAAATAATAAGATCTGTGAGACTTTATTGTAAAAATGTGAGGTTTTGGTTGAATGTTTCCTTATTTCTTAAGGACCTATCTTCTAATACTCTCTTAAACGTCCTAACTTGCTTTTCATTTGTTTAGCAGTTTTGGAAATACTATTTTATTCGTAGACTAGGCTGATAAAATATCCAGTGTAATCTCCAAATGAGTATTCAGTTTCCTAGAGAGTTAATTATCCCTTTATGTTCTCTGTGGTAATTCATTTTTAGAGAATATAATACACATTAACAGCTCACTACAGGTGTATTTTAGTCTTTGAATATGAAGAGACTTAGACACTTTGTCAGTGTTTTAAATTCATCTGATACATGTTAAAGGATCAGAAGCGCCAATCAACAGAATTATGACTAATAAAGTACCATATAAAATCTTAAAATATTATATACTAAAAGAAAATGTATCATTTATTTTACAAAGAATCTTATCTAAATTACCTGAATATAAATTTGATTCCTATTTATTATTGATCTTCCTCAGTAGATTCTGAATTAATTTTAAGGGAGTTTTTTGATCTTTAAATGGGAAATACTGAAGTGTAAGAATGTGGATTATTTTAAACCTCATTTTTTATTTCAGGAAGATCTCAGTGAACATGTAGTTCAGGGTGATGCCCTTCCTGGACATGTAGGGACAGCGTGCCTCTTATCATCCACCATTGCCGAGAGTGGGAAGAGTGCTGGAATTCTTACTCTTCCCATCATGAGCAGAAATTCCAGAAAAACAATAGGCAAAGTGAGAGGTAAGCTGGGAGAAACAGAAGGGCCCTTTATAAATGAGCAAAGGTTAGGTTCGAATTTTAGTTAGCTTCAAATTGAGTTTTTGAGAATGGCGTTAAGTTAATAATTTGTTTTTGGAATATTAACTACTACAATAGCAATAAGGGACATCTGAAATTTTCTGGAAGCTTTACTATGAATCAGTTTTGACTTGTTTTCTATTTAATAGAGATTGATAAAGTTGATTCGAGGGATATTTAAACGTAAATACCATTTAAATGCTCATCGTGGCCTTTTTAATCAGCTTTATCTTTATTTCTGCCCCCTTTTTTTCTATGGAAGTTGACTATATAATTATTAAGCCATTACCAGGATACAGTTGTGACATGAAATCTTCATTTTCCAAGTATTGGAAGCCGAGAACACCATTGGATGTTGGACATCGAGGTGCAGGGAATTCTACAACAACTGCTCAGTAGGTTGAATATTTGAGCGGTATTTAGCATTTGGTAGCTTGCGCATGATAAGGTTCCATTGGTTTGGCCCACTAAAGGTCAAAGGATCCCTTTATTACCTGGGATTTAATGTAATTTAAATTAAGTAGAGACTAACTCACTCGTAAGACTCTGTCTGGTCAGTGTCTCTAATATCTACCGAACTCTGATGCCAAGAGGGACATTAAAAAGAGAAGGCCGAGGAAAAGCTTGATGCAGGAAGCAGCCTGAATCTCAGTGTGTGTTGTGGTCCCAACCTTTGGCATGCTTCCCTCTCTGGGTCTCGGTTTCCTCACCCGTTCTTGATATCATTTCCATACTGCCGACCTGCTGGGTGTCGTCAGCCTTTTCCCATTCCCCCGGTCGGCCAGGATGAAGTGCTCTGAGGCACCATTGCAAGGGGCAAGTCTCTGTGTCTCTTCTACTTTATGCCACTGCAAAAGATTGTTTTCCTTGAGTGGTCACCTCACTTGGGGAGGTATGTGTGGGTGTGGGATAAGTTTATATTCAGTTTATAAGTACCTGCAGTCATTAGAGCTTGCATTTATGGAATAAATGCATATACCCACCAAGTGATGGTCACAGTCTTAATTTGGGGATGGCAGAAGGAGCTTCAGCATAGAGAATATTGAACTGTTTCCATTGTTAAAGATATAGTTGGCTTTTTTTTTTAAAGATTTTATTTATTTATTTGAGAGGAAGAGGGACAAGCAGACTCCCCCCATGCACAGAGCCTGATGTCAGCAGGGCTCCATCCCAGGACCCTGAGATCCTGACCTGAACCTAAGTCAGATGCTTAACGACTGAGCCATCGAGGCACCCCAGTTGGCTTCTTTATTACATTTGTTTTCTTTATCTTGTCTATAGTGGATGATAACTGTATTTCTATATATTTCTTCTCTTTCAGGCTTGCTAAAGTTCAAGAAAATACTATTGCTTCTTTAAGAAATGCTGCTAGTCATGTAAGTGACCTTCTCTTTTTTTGAACAACTTGGGATCATTGGTCCAAAGATAGCAAAGTAGAGAAATGTGGGCTTGGGGAATCTTCCATTAATAGCTTAAAAAGGTTAAGTAGGTTAAAAATGCATGCTCCTTCTGAATATGATTCTAAGCGAAGATAAAGTATCTCTGAGCATTTGTTTTTAGATTCTTGGTGAAGATTGTGATGAAAACTATAGAATCATTAGCATGTTTGAGATTACAGGTTTTTTTGTTTGTTTGTTTTAAAAGATTTTATGTATCAAGAGAGAGAGCCAGAGAGCATAAGCAGGGGGAGGGGCAGAGGGAGACTCCGGGAGAAGCAGACTCCCCACTTAGCAGGGAGCCCAACGTGGGGCTCAATCCCAGGACCCTGGGATCATGACCTCAGGCAAAGGCAGATGTTCCACCGACAGAGCCACCCAGGAGCCCCTGAGATTACAAGTTTTGAGTGATTGGAACAAGAAAAACAATCCCCATTAAGCAATGCTTTTCATTAACTGAGTATTGTGTTCACTCAGATACTTTGGAAATAATGCTTACAGAAGGATTTGATGGTGGTTTTAGGTAACGCTTAAGTCTGTCAGTTTATGTCCTGCATACCAACTTGATTATGTTAAATTTCTTAATTCCTTTTATCCATTTATAAAAGGTTAGAGTCCATTTTTTAGCTTTCAATTTTTTTCAGCAACTACAGCTTGACATTTTTAATGAAGAAGATTAAAGATTCCCCTGTCTCCCCCTTCTGCCTTGTACCTGACTGAAAAACCTCATGCTCTAAAGTTAAACTAGGGGGGAAATGGAGGAGAACAGCTCATTCTTTAATTTTCATTTTCTCCACAGTGTTCTCCGCGTGCCTTACACTTTGCCTTTTTAAATAGTTCAGCAAGTAAACTTGATTAGTGTGATGTTTAATTTTATTACTTATATGAGCAAACATCTATTCTAAGACATGCTTTTTTCATATTTGAGCATCTCTACAATTGGTTAGGGTTTTACAACTTTCTTAGCCTTGCATCCTGGTGTCATGGGCAGCATTCTTTCCCCTTTTAGTGGTATATGAAGCATATTATAATTCATGACATTTTATTTTAGTGTTTAAAAATATTAATAGTGGATTCTTCTGTCTTTTGTTGAAAGGATGGATATTAAATCTATGAGTGTTGGGGGCTCTAGTTCATTATTTGGAACCAGTTTCAGTTCATTGTAGCTAACTATTCTAAACATTGGTTTATTAGCTGTAAACACATGAAGATCCTGCTAAGGAACTTTAGTGTCTACATGTCCTTTTTTTTTTTTTTAAAGAGAGGGAGGTGGGAAGAGGCAGCAGTAGAGGGAGGAGAGAATCTTAAGCGGCTAGCACAGAGTCCGACACAGGGCTCGATCTCACAACCCTGAGATCATGACCCGAGCCAAAATCAAGAGTCAGTTACTTAACTGACTGAGCCACCCAGGCATCCCTCCGTGCCTTTTGAGAGAAAATTTCATTAAGCTTTTTTTCTTCCATGTTCTGTTGAGATCCTTTGTAAGTCATAAGGATCACATTTTAGAATGCCATATGCTAGTTATTAATGACTTGTTTATTTTAATGTTAAAAACATATCCTTGAAGGGGTGCTGATATGTTATTGGCTTATTTCTTAAAGCTCACACATGGATTTTGGGATCAGGTTTTCTCTTGCAGTAAAATTATCTTCGAAAGGGTGGTGATCCTGTAAAGTTAAACATTTAAACTACAGAGCTATAATTTGTTTAATCAATATAACTATTTAAGGATGCTAGGGTTTGTTCTCTTTGGTAGAAACGCTTTTTTTGTTATTGTCTTGTTTTATAGCACTAGAAGGAGCTAAACTTATTTCCTGTTTCAGAAATCATCAAGGAAATAGGCTTCGATTCTAGTCTGTGATTCACATGTGCTCACAAGTTGGACACCCCTCTGTGCCTAAAGCTTGGGGAGGGGTGGAAGCATGTCATCTGTCCTTACACAAGCACTTCTCTGGGCTACAGGAACATAGAATGCTCACACCTTGTTTCCTTTGATCCCAGCCAGCTCTCTTTCAGTGAATGCACACCTTTGTGGGTCAGTTTATGTTCTCAGCTTTATTTGGATTAATTCCTATGTCAGAATGGGTCCGACTTGGAAATATGCAGCCTTAACTCATCCTCGTCATCCTCCCTCCTGTTGAGGCTCTGTCAGGAGATTGGGCTTGTGCAGGGCCGTTCTTGACCCCCTTGCAGCTTTCTGTCTTTTCAGCAGCACCTGTCATTTCCTCTTGACTCTGCTTTTGGGGTTTTTCCAGGAAAGGCTGGAAGGTGTGCCGCTCAAGTGCACCAGGGTGCAGAGCGGAGACATTGCGGCTTTTTCCTTTCCCTCCTCAGCTTTGAGGGTCAGCTGTCTGGCCACGGAACTTTGGGGCAGTATGGCACAAGCTGGTCCCGCTGCCTGTTTCTGGCAGGCTCCATTTCTGCTAAGGGCAGCAGCAGAGGTCACAGGCTGGCCACTGCCACAGAGCGGCCCTGGGGTGTGTTCACGTGGATCAGTGTGCCCATGTTTTTGCCGGGAAAAAATTGCTTGTGCTGTCATAACGAAGAACAATAAAAAAATTGTAAGAGAAGGAATTACTTTTTAGCGAAAGCTTGAAGCATAACATTAATTCATAAGGAAGTTTTTTTGTTTTGTGTACAGGTCTATGAGTTTATAGTGAACAGTGAATTTCTTATATCCTTGTAGTTTTCGATGTATTGTGGGCCAGATAATGTTTTTCAAGTACCTGTTTCCTTTATTTCTGTTAGGGTGCAGCCTTTGTAGAATTTGATGTACATCTTTCAAAAGATTTTGTGCCTGTGGTGTATCATGATCTTACCTGTTGTTTGACAATGAAAAAGGTATGTTGAAATTCCTTCCATTTCATTTTATTTATTTTTTAAGGGGAGGGGAGGGGAGAGAGAATCTTAAGCAGACTCCGTGCCCAACGCAGAGCCTGACACGGGGCTCGATCTCACAACCCTGAGATCATGACCTGAGCCAAAATCAAGAGTTGGACGCTTACCGGCCTTAGCCACCCTAGTGCCCCAAAATTCCTTCATTTTAAACTCTTACAGTTAGATAGGTTTAAATGCTAGGACGTTTGTTTTACATATATGTGTAGAGTTATTTATTAGGGTTGATCAATTCATTTTTTTGGTCAATTACTGCCAATTCTTTCCTCTGTCAAGCTCCCACAACATCGAGAGAGTAAGGAGATGGGAGTAATAATTGCCTAGAGTGGGGTCTCTGTATTGCTGATTTGCTTTCTTCTACTATCTAACAAAAGGACCTTCCAGGTGGCTTCTGTATCAGTCTGCCACTGTTCTGTATTGAAGCAAGAGAGGAAGCTGTCAGAGAGTCTGTTTTCTAGCCTCCCTTCTATTTCTGCTTCAAGCTTTTCCTCAGATTAATAGGTTAGTATGATTTGGCCAAAAAGAGAAGAGCCACAGTGGGAAAGCACTTTGGAGCCAGGTAGTGGAGGGCCTCAGGAAAGGGGTGTAGATTTAGGAGCTAGGAAGATGTGACAGACTTTTGAGTCAAGAAGGGAAATGTTCAGGGCGCCTGGGTGGCTCAGTTGGTTAAGCGACTGCCTTCGGCTCAGGTCATGATCCTGGAGTCCCTGGATCGAGTCCCGCATCGGGCTCCCTGCTCGGCAGGGAGCCTGCTTCTCCCTCTGACCCTCCCCCCTCTCATGTGCTCTCTGTCTCTCTCATTCTCTCTGTCTCAGATAAATAAATAAAATCTTTAAAAAAAAAAAAAAAAAGAAGGGAAATGTTCAGAACTAAACTTCTAGATGTAAGTACCTGATGTAAGGGGAATTTAAGAGGACAGAGACTAGAGACAGGGGGAGTGGTAATGTGGCCAAAGATACAGTAAGCCTGGACCAGTGTGGAGATAGAATGGAGAATGGCATGATGGAGGAGAAAGTCCAGAAGGAGATTTGAAAATATATATTGTTTCTTAAAAATTGTAATCGTTGTGTGAACATAATTGTGATAATTGCATAGTGCTTAAACTTTAGTGTACAAATTAACCAAGTGATTTCTTAACTTAAACTAGGAGGGGGCGCCTGGGTGGCTCAGTCGTTAAGCGTCTGCCTTTGGCTCAGGTCATGATCCCAGGATCCTGGGGATAGAGCCCCGCATCAGGCTCCCTGCTAGGCGGGAAGCCTGCTTCTCCCTCTCCCTCTCCCACTCCCCCTGCTTGGGTTCCCTCTCTCTCTGTTAAATAAATAAATAAAATCTTCAAAAAAAATAAATAATCTGGCAAATATACAACTCTTAAAAAAAAAAAAAAACTAGGAGGGTTCATTTGGCATTTTCTATAAAACTATTGGGTATCATTTTCCGCTGAGGTGATTTAAAGTTAAGGCTAGTGTGCTAACATATAGGACACTACCAGACACAGTTGTTGTGGTATATATGGCAAGGTGCCTGGCTCTGCCTGCTCGTGGATTTGAATCCGTCATGGGGGTTTGGAATACTATGATGTATGGAAAAGCACACTTCCACTTCTAGAAGTGGACCCTGCTGTTTTTGCATATGTGAAGGGGCTAGGCTATAAGTCTTTGTTGGTAGACCATAGGGGCTGACCGTTCTCTTCCATAGCCTTAGGAGAGAGAGGGAAGGAGATGCACCTACTTAGATAATAGAGGTAAAATAACTTAGTAGAAAAGCAGCAGATTGTTTTGCTCTGGGGAAAAAAATCAATGCAAAAGTGGAACAGGAAGAAATGGAGCAGTAAAGATCTTCGTAACCAAGATTGAGGTCAATCAAGCTGTAATTTCAAAAAATCTATGAGTTAATTGAAAAGTATCACTGATACGGTTTTCACCAGACTTTGTCTTGCTCTTAAGTTGAACCTGGATGAGTTAGAGAATGAAAGTAACAAATTGTATGTATTTTTAGTTTTAATTTTTAAGCTGGTATTTTCCTTAACAAAATCAATTCATGTTCATTGTAGAACTGCAGAAGATTATGACATGAAAAAGAAATCTTCCTTTCCCCTTTCTCCTTGGTCACACTTCCTTACTCTTAACAGTTTCTTGTGTGTCCTCTAGAAGAGCCTTATGCACAGGTTTATACCATATGTATGTGAATGAATATAATGGATTTTAGCATATTTGTTGATTGATGATTTATTGGTGGTCCATTAATTCATTTCCTTAAGATGGGGTGCCTAAATAGTGTGGCGTTTGAGATGGTAGTAAAATCTAATAAAACAGATTTGTTCATGGGGAAAACATTTGTAATAGATTAGAGTTCCTGTTAAGATTAGAGTTCCTGTTAAATATTACTGCTTAAAACTAATCAGACATTTTTTTCCCATGACCATTGATTTCTATGGCTATTTTTAACCAAACTTAAGTTTAAAAGGCTTAGAAACTTATTGACAGAAATTAATCCTTGTCTAGTCCTTGTACATGTTGATTGCCTAGTCTGTAGCATGGATATATATATGTCAAATAAAATGTCAGCAGCATGACAGGAAGTAAGGAAAATGGCTGATTTCTGGCTTTCTTCTCAGTATGTCTTCAGGGCCCCATCCTCCTCCCAGCTCTTTTTTTCTTCCAGGCACTCCCACCTACATCAAAAACGAAAACCAGAATTTAAGATCTGGAAGATGGTGTTTAAAAAGGGGGGCTCCCCTGCATGGGCTTGCTGCGGCCTTTGAACAGTTGTTATCATTCACTAAGTTGGGATGTTAGGCCTGTCTAGGGTTAAACATTCAGTGATAATTTGAGGCCTATTTTTCTCTTTATTTTCTTTTTAGAAATTTGATGCTGATCCAGTTGAATTATTTGAAATTCCAGTAAAGGAATTAACGTTTGACCAACTCCAGTTGTTAAAGGTAGTAATGATAACATAAAATGTAAATGATCTTTTAGTTTTAGAATGATTTATACTTTGTGTATGTTTTCTTTGTGCATGGAGATGACTATTTAGCATGAGGAGAGTGTATGCTTTGGTTCTCTGTACTATTAGGAAGAATGGGTTTGCGCTAATCCATCTGTCTTCTCTAACAGTTTCCATGGACCCTACTGTTTTTGCATATGTGAAGGGGCTAGGTTATAAGTGTGTTAGTGGACCATAGGGGCTGACCCTTCTCATTCATAGTATTAGGTTGCCTTTGGTCCACATTAGCCCTTCTTTATATAACTATTTTACAGTTGCACTTTTATGCTGTCCTTGGTTTTTATACTTCTGTCACTAAGATCTTTTTATATTTTTTATACTATGTAATTTTATATGATCACTCTTCCTGTTCTCACTAGATACCTATATAAATGGTTGATTGAGTATAAACAGTTCTTAAGAATTTTTATATTCTTCTTCCCTACTTGGGTATTTGATCATGATCTTATGTGTTTGTATGCACATATAAAATATATATAGCGGTTAGTGATTATTCTTACTAAACTGATAATTCTACATTTTATGGTTTTCTTTAACTTGCTAGATTTTCAAGTTACAGTTCTGTTAACCATATCTTCATAAATTAAGGCTTTTTTTTCTGATTGCATTTTGTGTGTGTGTATGTTTTCTAGCTCGCTCATGTGACTGCTCTAAAATCTAAAGATCTGAAAGGTATGTACTAATATGGAAGCACTATTTTCATTTCCCTTTTTTTTTTTTTAACATACCCTTGGTCATTTTAATATTGGGCTATCTAAATAATTTTACAGACATGAAGTCTTTACATATATTAATTTTCAAATGCATTTATGTCATGTGTATAGTAATTATGAGTTTTTACTTTTATGAGTTTTCTTAGCTTGATGATCAAAGTTTTTTGTAACTTTGTACCTATCATTTTTTCCGAACATTCTTAACCAAAGAAGAAAGTGGAGGGTATATCAAGTATGAAAGCTGGCTCTAGAGCCAGGGGTTAGAATACAACTCTAACATTCACCAGCTGTGACCTTGGGCGGGTTACTTTACTTTAACTACTTTGTCCCTCAGTTTCCCTAAAACTTGTCCTGCCTACAAAATCCCTTTGTAATTGTAGTTGGCACTCTCATAGAACTTCGTAGTTTGTGCCATTCATTTGAGGTTTAATGGCTCCTTTTTTTAACCGTTTATTCTGTAGATGTCCTATCTCTTCAACTAGAATGTAAATCTCTCTAGGGTGGAAAACATGTTTTTGTATTCCCCAAGACACTTACAATGCTCTGTATGTAGTAGGTGCTCATTAGATATTTATCTGCGGTTTTGATAACAGGATGGTTGGAATGACTTTATGAAGATACTGTAAAGTGTTAAAAGAGTCCAAAGATTATCCCCAGAGCATTGGTATGACTTTGTAGGCTTTATAGTTATTTCATGACTGTTAATAATAAAATGAATTTTATTTATTTATTATTTTTTATTATTATTTATTTAGCCGGAAATTTTTATATGACTTTAGTCTTTGTAGTACACAGTGTTTTTTGTTTAAATCTTTTTTTTTTTTAGGATTTTATTTATTTATTTGAGAGAGAATGAGAGGGGGGAGGGTCAGAGGGAGAAGCAGACGCCCTGCTGAGCAGGGAGCCCGATGCGGGACTCGATCCTGGGACTCCAGGATCATGACCTGAGCCGAAGGCAGTCGCTTAACCAATTGAGCCACCCAGGCACCCAACAGAGTTTGTTTGTTTGTTTTTTTAAGAAAAGTTTGGTGTGCCTGGGTGGCCCAAGTTGGTTAAGCGGCTGCCTTCGGCTCAGGTCATGATCCTGGGGTCCTGGGATCGATGCCCCACGTCCGGCTTCCTGCTCGGTGGAGAGCCTGCTTCTCCCTCTCCCTCTGCCTACTTGTGCTCTCTATCGCTCTGTCAAATAAATAAATAAAATCTTTAAAAAAAAAAAAGGAAGAAAAGTTTGATATTTAGTTTGATGTCAAATTTTTTTTCCCTCTTGGAACAAAATTCTATGTGTCTTGAGATATAATCTATTTTAAATTAAATGGTGGGGTAACAAAAGCACAATTTTAATTTCTCTTTAAATTCTCTTAATTTCTAACTTCGGAGCTGATTTTGATATTTCAAATAGAAGCCTTAGCAAGAGGACACAGCTCTTAATTCCATTGAGAAATAACAAATCACTGCTGGTGACTACTTTGTAAAAAGTAGTATTATAGTGTTTGTAAGAAAATACTCACTGTTGGTGCCTCAAACCTGTGTTTCTGTGAAATGTTGCAAACTAGTTTTCATATTTTAAAATATGAAAACTATGTTAAGTATTAATTCAAAAAGGAGGTCTTAATGGTTAAACATAAGAACCTTCAAAATACTGCATATGAAAGGATCTCATAATTACCTCTATCTGCGTCTTTTTTTTTTTTTTTTGTCTTAAGAGTTTAGGATAAGATCTTAGTGATAAAATGGTATTTTATCTACTGAGTTTTTGTAATTTAAATTTTCAGAATCTGTGGTTGAGGAAGAAAATTCGTTTTCTGAAAATCAGCCGTTTCCTTCTCTTAAGATGGTAAGTTCCTTAGGGAAACTAGGACAAGGCTATCTCATTAATTCTGTTATAACTAAGTAAGTTATTTTGGTCTCTTAGATGGGCACTAAAAGGCTGTGTCAAAGACAGCATTTATATAAACTTGTCATTGATTCTTTTTAGAGAAGATATATTTTTGTATGGTGTACCTATGCTACTTTTTAAGAGTAACCTATCTGCTCAAATGAATAAAAATCCCCACCTCAGTGGGTTAATTTGGTAAGAACAGAAAATTCACATATTTCTGTATATAAACAAGAAATAGAGGGCACAGAAAAAGGGGCGGGAGGGACGTGTGATGGTGGAAGAGCATTTTTACAATATTTAAAACTGTTCCGGGGCGCCTGGCTGGCTCAGTCAGAGGAGCATGCGACCCTTGATCTTGGGGTCATGAGTTCTAGCCCTATTTGGGTGTAGAGATAATGTAAATAAAAACCTGAAGGAAAAAAAAAAAAAACTGTTCCTTAGCTTTTAGAGAGAAATGAGATTCTCTAACCAAAGAAAATAAGTACTCTCATTACTCAAAATGAGACACAAATTTCAAGAATTCACTTGAAAAAGTATAACAAATACTAGCATGAAGATTTTAAAACTAGACACAACTCATACAGGAATCTCTTTACCGTACCAGGCAAGCGCCTGTGGATGCCGGGCACTCCTCACTCATGCTGGGTCTGCTTTTTTTCCCTACTGGCTCCATTTCCTAACTTCTGTTCTTCTCCATTGTCTTTTTCTGATGTCTGGTACAGTAGATGTCTTAGGCAACAGTTTATCAGGATTATTCACATAACAGAAAAGAACCTACAAGAGAGCTCCTAAAACATGATTGGAATAATTTTCCAGATATTTGTGAAGCCCAGCCAAGTAACGTCATTCCTTCTGGTTCAAAAATCTGAAATCGTTTGGTTCTGAGAAATCTCATGATTCCTAGACTTGTGATTAAAAACAACTTTTAAAAAAATTGTGTATTAATGGTTTAACATTTACTTAGCCAAATAAGTTAAACACACTTTTATTCGCGTACTTTGCCACTGTCACTGTAATTTAATCACAGAAATTTTAAAACCAAAAAGGCCAAATAAAATCTGTTTATTTTTAAGAAAGGGAAAGAGAGAGCTCACGTGGAGGTGCTGGGGGGGAGGGGCAAAGGGAGAGGGGGAGAAAGAGTCTTAAGCAGGCTCAGGCTCAGTGCAGAGCCCTATGCTGGGCTCGATTTCGTGACACTGAGATCTTGACCTGAGCCGAAATCAAGAGTGGGATGCTTAACAGACTGAGCCACCCAGATGCCCCTAAAATCTCAATTTAAAGGAGACTCTTTGTAAATTTGATGTTTAGCAGTCTCAATACTAATATACACTATTGTCCTTATTTTTCTAATTTTGTATTAGTCTGGTAAAAACATGATAGGTACACTAAATAAAATAAGCCTAAAAGTATCAGAGAAGAAAGTCAAAAAGCCCCACATGAAATGGAGTACACAGTTTTAGGTTCTGTACTTTCCATGCAGCTGGTTAGTGTAGACCCAAGACCTATGATGGTGAAAGGATTTGAGGTTAAAGATGCATCTTTGTGGTAGTTCTGCCATCACAGATGTTGCCTAAGACTACTGCTTTTGCTGTTTAATTTCTTTTGACTTCCTTATTTAACTTAATCATCAACCAGGTTGTTAGTTTGGGTATGAGAAAAGATAGTGCTGAAGGCACAAAACATTTTATTCTTACTTAGTGATATGTTTTACTATAGGTTTCTTTTTGTAATAATTCTCTTCTTTTTTTCTTCTCTTATTCTGCCATTCATCTCACCAAAATCAAAACCAAATTCACCTCCAACAAACAAAACTCTAGGTTTTAGAGTCTTTGCCAGAAGATGTAGGGTTTAACATAGAAATAAAATGGATCTGCCAACAGAGGGTAAGTAATCCTTGACGGAACACCTTCTTCCTCTCTCTCCCCCTCATTTCTTTAAATGCGTTTGTTCCCATCTCCTTATTTTAATGGAAAAGTGAAGCTGAAATCTTACTGTGGCTTCTTCCAACATTATTGGACCTTTTTAATAAAGCATACTTTATCGTTATACTATATGTGAGTACTTGAAAGTAGTGATGAATGTATTGTAGTATAAATGTCAATTTACATGTGTTTCATGTGCACATTAATATGGATGGTTTCTGGATATACTTATAAAATTAACAGTGAAAACTGGACAGTTAACTTTATAACTGATTAGTTTTTATTTTCTTATTCTCCATCTAAACATGTATTTTAAATAATTCCCTAAGCAGTTTTCTGTTAAGTGGCAGTAGTAGCTAGTAACAGTTAACCAAGAAAAGAAATTTCTGCAGGTGTGTTTTAAATCATTCCCAGATTTAGTCATTTTTTTGTTCAACAATTTATATTGAAAAGCTGCTGTGGGTGAGGCATTTTGTGGGTGCTGGGTTCAAGTAGTGAAAAACAGAATAAACATTGCCTTCTTGGAACTTACAGTCTAGTTGAGGAAAACAATTAACTATTGAATATATCAGATGGGGATATGTATAAATGGTTGGGGTGCATGGTAAGAGGGTTGTTGGGCCCTGAAAGGGGCTAATTCAGGTATGATTGGGCAATCAGAGCAATATCCTGGAATTTGTTTTGATCAGAATAATCTATAACTGCCCTCAAATCTTGCCTTCTAAGTACTGTTTATGATAAGCTAGTCCCAGTTAACATAGTAAGTGGTTTTTCTTAATAAGTGATTTTTAGTTTTCTGAGCTTTTAGGATTTAATATATAAAACATCTAATATTTGAATATCAACAGGGCTCTTAGTATCTTAGCTATATTTAGAGAATGTTATTTGAGGGTACTTGATATGTCTTAAGAGTCAAAGAATGAGGTTTTTAATTAGTAATTAATAATTACCTGGGTTTTTTTTTTGTAGGGGGGACACCTGGGTGGCTCAGTTGGTTGAGCATCCGACTCTTGGTCTCAACTCAGGTCTTGATCTCCGGGTCATTACTTACTTAAAGTCCCTCATTGGACTCCACATTGGGCATGGAGCCTACTTTTAAAAAAGGGGGGCGGGCGGCGCCTGGGTGGCTCAGTTGTTAAGCATCTGCCTTCGACTCAGGTCATGGTCCCGGGGTCCTGGGATCGAGCCCCGCATCGGGCTCCCTGCTCGGCAGGAAGCCTGCTTCTCCCTCTCCTACTTCCCCTGTTTGTGTTCCCTCTCACTGTCTCTCTCTCTCTGTCAAATAAATAAATAAATAAAATCTTTAAAAACAAAAAAATTACCTGGGTTTTTTGTAATGAATTAGCAAATGAAGTCCTTTTGTCTTACAGTTCATGAAGATTATAGAAATATTTTATTTTTTTAAAAGATGTCATTTATTTGAGAGTATGAGCGTGGGAGGGGAGAGGAAGAGGGAGAAGCAGACTCCCCGCTGAGCGAGGAGCCTGATGCGGGGCTCGATCCCAGGACCCTGAGATCATGACCTGAGCTGAAGTCAGATGTTTAATCGACTGAGCCACCCAGGCGCCCCTATATAAAAATATTTTAACTTCAGTAGAGTGCAGATTTCCAGACTTTTAGCTTTTTATTTTGTTAACTTTATTAAAGGAAAAGTTTACTGATGGTATAACTGCTTTGTGTCTAAGTGTCTCTACCTGAATTTTGACAGCTGCACTATCACTAAGTAGCTGTGTGGTCTTGGGCAAGGTACTTAATCTTTTTAGGCTTTTGCTTTCCAAATGTAAAATAAGAGTTGGATTAGATGTTCCCAAGATTTCTTTTCTGGCACTGATTCTTGGGTATCTAATGACTTTTGTTTTCCTGTTTATTTCTTCCACATAGGATGGAATGTGGGATGGTAACTTATCAACATATTTTGACATGAATATGTTTTTGGATATAATTTTAAAAACTGTCTTAGAAAATTCTGGGAAGAGGAGAATAGTGTTTTCTTCATTTGATGCAGATATTTGCACAATGTGAGTAATACTCAGTTTTTTTCACCTATATTTTTCGACAGTAGCTGGTACTTAGGGTACAAAGATTGTGGTTGGAGGTAGGGAGGTTGCCCAGATTTCACCCTTGACTTGACCTTTCAGTCAGGTTATATATATCTTCACATCCCTTTAGGACTACCTGCAGGATGCCCTCCCACCTCCTCCAGTGAACTCTACACCCACTGGATCCTAGTACCTCACCCCCTGTGTTTCGTTTTATAGGCCTGTAACCTCCTCTTTACCAAATTGTAAGCCCTCAAGGGCTTTCTTGTTGCCCATTTCTGAGAATATTTTTAGCTCTTGTATAGAATGATTTAAAATTTTTCTTTTTGATTGAAAGTTGCAATACATGTTAATGGTGATTATATCTCAATAATGGGATTATGCTCTTTGGGGGGAGGTGGTTTCTTTATATTTTTAGAGTTTCCTAAAATTCTAAAACAGTATATTAGAATTATCTCCCTGATGAAAAGTATTTTTAAATTGTCTTTTTTAGGGTTCGGCAGAAGCAGAACAAGTATCCCATATTATTTTTGACTCAAGGAAAATCTGATATTTACCCTGAACTCATGGACCTCAGATCTCGGACAACCCCCATTGCAATGAGCTTTGCACAGTTTGAAAACCTACTGGTAAGTTATGCTTGATTTTTGTTTTTATTACTATTTTAATTTTTTAAGAAATGTCTTAGAATAGTAGTAAATAAGTTTTCATGTTATTTTACACCTCTGATTGGTTAGTTTTGACACATTTATAACAAGCTGATAGCTCTACTTAAATAAGGATATTAGATCTCAGAATGAAAAGCTGTTAAATGAATGACAAAATATTTTCTTGCGGGCCTAGATTAAGTAAGTTTCTGAGTGGATTTTATGAATCATCTGAAATGGCTTGACTGTAAATTTGTTTGATAAAATAAACTAGAAGAAAAAGTTCTGACATTTTTTTCTCTGCCCAGTCTACTTTGGGGAACACTGATGGAGATTGTAATCATTTAGCATTTGCAGTTAATAAGTTACTTTTTCATGAGTAACTTATTTTTCTTCTTTTAGGGGATAAATGCACATACTGAAGACCTGCTCAGAAACCCATCCTATATTCAGGAGGCAAAAGCTAAGGGACTAGTCATATTCTGCTGGGGCGATGATACCAACGATCCCGAAAACAGAAAGAAGCTGAAGGAACTTGGAGTTAATGGTCTAATTTATGATAGGTATTTGTTTTTCATGAAAAGTTTTCATGGATTGTTAGAAAAAAAAATAGTTGTTTTATAAAATTAAAAATATTATTAAACTTAGTTAAGTTAAAATTCTGTAGTTCAGCCTGAGGTTTATCTTAACATTTGTCAGTGGAATTTTTCAAACTCTGGAGTATAGCACAACCATGTGGGAAGCTTATTAAACAATTGGACGACTGGGCTCTACACCAGATGTGCTGTCATCTTGGGGGTTGGGGGGCTGTCTCCCCCAGACCTCTCTGTCTGCACCAACTTTCTTGGGGATCTCATCCAGTTCTGTGGTTTTTCATACCTTTATTCTCCAATTTTTGTATCTCCAACCTTTGTCTCTTTCCCCTGACCACTTACATTTTTATATCCAGCTATCAACACCTATCCTTTCTCTAGACTTCCTGATTTCAATATACATGGCAACTCTGTCTTTCCGGTTTCTCAGTCCAAATCCTTGGAGTCTTTCATGGCTCTGTTCTTAAACTCATACTCTAAAACCAGTCAAAAAGAATCTTGTTGATTCTGTCTTCAGAATATATCCTGCATGTATCCACTCACCATATTTACTATTGTCACTCTCTGCTAAGACAGCCTCATTTCTCATGTGGCTTATTGAAGTCCATCTGCTTACTGTCCACTCCTTTATCTACACCTCCTTGCTATCTGTTCTCAGCACAGCAGCCAGAGGGGAGCCTATTCTAACTGAAGTCAGATCGTGTTACTGCTTAAAACTCTCCCATGGGTCTCTTTGTCATCTAGAGTAAAATCCAAGACCCTTCCAAGGCCCCACATGAGCTGATGCCCATCTTTCTTCCTCCAGCTCCCACCCCAACACACCCACACAAACATAAGCTCCATGAGGACAGGCTCTTTGCCTGTTTTTATTCACTCCTGTGTCTCCAAAAGTTAGAACAATGTGTGACATACAGTAGGGATTCAAATATTTGTTGAAACAAAAGTTTTTTCCTTTTTTTATAAGCTCCCTAGGTGTGTTTATGATATGTTTGAGAGCCACTAATCGGAGAGACGAAAAGATTGCTTAATATAAAGAAATTTGGGGTTAGAAGGGATGTCATTTAGTCTGCTGAGGGGTTAGCAGGCTTGCTAATACTTGAGCAACATCCTATAAAGAGTAAGTGATGAAATTCTTACGAGGCCTGCTTTAAAGAAGTTCATTCCTTGGATGTAGTTCACTTTACTGTTTGTCCTGTATAGTTAATATCACTTATACACTTCCAACTAATTAAAGGAAGATAAAAATTTTTACAGTAACCATTTGAAAGAAGTGCTGGCTTTAGCAAAAAAAAATTTTTTTTTTTTAAAGATTTTATTTATTTATTCATTAGAGACAGAGAGAGAGAGGCAGAGGGAGAAGCAGGCTCCCAAGGAGCAGGGAGCCCGATGCGGGACTCGATCCCAGGACCCTGAGATCATGACCCAAGCCGAAGGCAGATGCTTAACCATCTGAGCCACCCAGGAGCCCTTTAGCAAAATTTTTGAAGAATATTTCTTTGAGGAGGAGGAAGGAATGATTGCAAATATTTTCAGGCAAGAAAATGTAATCTGAGACATACTCTGTATGACTTTGTAGGGTGTACAGATTTTAGGCAGATCCTTTGAAGGGCCTTACTTGGTTGGAGCCAAATTGTGACATGTAATGGACAATAGGAAGATACTTTGTGATATAAAAGGCCCTGAAGAAAGTGAGTAATCTTCCTGGCCCAGGGTCAATAAGAATAATTTTAAAGAGGAAGCATTGAGTTGGTTTTAGGAGTGGCTAAGTTTGCTTTGACAGGATTTGAGTTTTGGGCAGAAGCAATAGTGTGACTCAGGGCAGGACTGTGTTGAAGGTGTGGAAGACATTGAGGAGACAGCCCAGGATGGGGCTCCTGCTAGGGTCTGTTAATGTTGTGTTTACCTTTGAAAGTTGTTGGGTTTTTTTGTTTTGTTTTTTAATGTTTTAATCAAAGAAGTGTGTGTGTAAGGTTTACAGTAAAAACCAGCAGTTCCCTATGCCTATCCCTTTCATTGTTTTTAGCTGAGTTCCTGTGGCCAAATGTTTTTTATTTTTTTAAGAGAGAGCGAGCGGGTAGGGGGCAGAGGGAGAGAGAATCTTAGGCAAGTTCCATTCCCAGTGTGTGGAGTCTGACTCCAGGCTCAGTCTCTTAACCCTGAGATCATGACCTAAGCCAAAATCACGCTTAACCAATTGAGCCACCCAGGTGCCCCACCCTAAAGTTTCTTTAGCTGTTTCTTCTGGTATGTAATTTGCTTATGCTATTATTCTTTTTATTATCAAATCTAGACATAATAGAGAAGGTTTTGAACGATTAGTGATTTTGGAGCCTTTGATCTGTTTTATGTTGGGGAGAATTGTTGATGAGAGTGGGTGTTTTTAGTTGATCAAAACTGATTTCTTCTTTTCTCTCACAAAGGCAATAACACATTGTAGATTTTACATTTAATCATGGTTTTGTGGTACATTATCTCATATAAAGAGCTATGTTTGATTTGCTGATATTTGGGATTTTTGCATTTGTGATAATGAGTAAGATGACCTTTGATTTACCTTTCTCAACTGGTTGTTGTCTCATTTTGGTATGGGGAAAATACTGGCCTCATAAAGTAATTAGGCAGTGTTTCCTCTTTTTATAAAAAAAATTACTGTGTCTGCTCAAATGATTAAAAAATAAATCCAGTAACAGACACCCATGTTTAAAGAACATTATCATTAGATTTGAAGTCTCCCATATGCCTCTCCCTAATTCAATTCCCTTATCTCCTCCCTTAGATATAACTGCTTATCAAATTATTATTCTCTTTGTAAAAATTTTAAATTCTTATTTCTATCACTAAATAATATACCATTCTTTAAACTTTATTTGTACTTTTTTCCCATTTGTTATAATGTTCTTAAAATTAATCTATTTGTTGTAATATAGCTATAATTTATTCAACTTTGTGGCTATATAATTTCATGGCTATGTCTCCATCACAATTTATTTTATATGAGAACATTTAGGTAGTTGCCAAGTTTTTGCTTTTGCAGTGTTTGCTGTAAACATTGTTGAACCAGGCCTTCTAGAATACATGTGTAAAGTTTCTCTAGGGCAGTGACTTTCAAACCATTTTGACCCAACCCAGTTAGAAATGCATTCTCCATTGTGACCAAGTGCACACATTGATATGTATATGTATATGTACCTGAAACAGAATTTTAAAAAGAATCGCCCTTGGATATTTTCTATTTGTATGTGTACTTTTGAAGTGCTAGTCCATTTTGCCACTGGCCTTCACCTTTTTAAATGCTAGTCTTAACTTTCCAAACTTGTTTGGCAACCCACTGTAAGGCATCTGTCTATGGGTCAGGTATTGGAAGTACATCAGGACTATGGTCCTGTGAAGTGGGTGGTTCTGTATTCCTTGGTTCTGCATCCATTGTAGCCTGCGACCAGTTCTCAGGAGTGGGCCAGTGCATAACTGTCAGTTTATCAGGAGCAGCACATGGTTAAAACAAGCCACACATAAGTAAGGGTCTGATGCAGGCTTGCTAGGGCACTCTGTCCTTAGGGTACAACGCTGGTCGAGTGGCCGTGGCCCTCTTGGAGTGATGAGAGTCCCTCACACACCTTCCTTTTCACTCAGACTGCTCCAGTGTAGACTCACTGACTTCTTTGGACACTGCTGTCATCCTGAGTGAAAATTGCTCCCTGACCTCAGTCCCTGTGTCAGAGCTCCCATCTCCTGTAGTCCAGATCTTTTTTGCTTTCCTGTCATTTTTATGGAACACATCCTTCAGCATCTTCTTGAGAAAGGAGGACATGGAAAATAAATGTTTGGTCTTGCATGCCTGGAAGTATGGTGGCTGGGCATAAAATTTCGTGTTAGGAAATCATTTTCTTTTAGAATTTTAAAAACACTTATCCGTCACATTCACAGTTTCAGTGTTACTGTTGAGGAGTGTGAAGCCATGTTGATTCCTGTTCCCGCACAAGTGATTTCTTTGTTTCCTATCTGGAAGCTTGCAGAGTCTTCTTGTCACCACAGTTGTCAAATTTCATAGAAATGGATCTTGGTGTGGGTCTGATTTCGTCCCTTGTGCTGGGCACACAGCAGCGCATTTAATCTGTTGATACATGTCCTTGAAGATGCAGAGATTCTGTGAATTATTTGATTTTTGTCTCTTCTGTTTTTCTGCACCCCCCCCCCCCCGCCATAGAAATCCTTTCGTTTACATACTATTCAGTCTTGGACCAGACTTCTAATTCTTATGTTTTCTCCTATTTTCTATCTTTGTCTTTTTGCTCTACTTTGAAAGATTTCTCCAACTTCATCATCCACTGTTCTATTGAGTTCTATTTTCTGTCTTTAATTTTAAGAACTGTCTTTTTTCTTTGAATGCTCTTTTTTCTTCTATATATAACATCCTGTTTTGGATCAATGAACTATTTCTGTGAAGGCATCAGGGCTTTTTTTTTTTTTTTTAGTCTTTGGAATTTTCTTCTCTTTGACTCACTATCTTACATGTTAGAAGCTTTCCTCAGTTATTTGGAAATCCTTGGCTGCTTCTCATGGTAAGAAATTGGGATCTAAAAAGCTTGTTGAAGGCTCTGAGTGTGTGAATGGGGCTTGTTAACTTGGATTTCACTGTGGGGTGATCTGGGTGGCCTGTTTGGTCATACTTCTGATGTCAGTAGATTTAGAACTTTACTTTTTGGCTGACCAGATTCCTCACAGAAGAATCTATATAAACTACCTAGAGGATCCAGATCTGGCTCCCAGGGTTCTTGGGATTCAGGTAAGGGAAGAGAGCTGGGGAAGGGAGGGCATGTCTCTGAATTTTGCATGTGTTATATGTATGGACTGTCTCTAATTCCCCTGGTGCTGGTGGCTTTTGTAAAATGCCCAAACCCTCACCTGGTCTTCTAGTCCTCCATTCCAAGAGCTTTCCCGTTAAGTTCTCAAAATCAACCTAAGTGGGGGAGTGGGATGCTGGGCAGCCTCCATGGCAGGAAGTTAGAAGGAAGGGAGATGCTTACTGCTGCTCAGAGCCTTCACTCATCTTCCGTGTTTTAGCTGCCGCCCCTCCCCCCTTCCCCAGTTCTAGGGGAATCTGGTGCTGCTTTTAACTCAGCCTTTTCATGTTTTCCACTATACTGGCTTGTGATTTGGCCTTTTCCGTTCTGCTAACTGAAACACTTTGTTACTACTTATGCATCTGTTTTCCAGCTTCCAAAATTTTGTTGCTGTGTCTCTTTGTTTTTTTCCCCATACGCATGGATTCTTTTTTAATCCCTTTATTTTCTTTTTAACGGGATGTACAAAGAAAGTATAGTTGCTTCTGTTTTGGGTCTGATATCTTGACCCGGAGGTCACTTCTCATTCTCTTAGAAATTCGTTCCTACTATGATGTCACAACGACCTCTGTTGTAGCACCTCACATGAGCTGCCCGGCCCTCACATCTAGGCCCGGAAGGCCATCCTGTCTCTGCTGATGGGCAGTGTACTGCTGCCATTGTCACCTGGGGCTTTTTCTGGCCTCGCAACTATGGGTACCTTGGCCTAGGCTGCACAGCTTCAGGACAGTTCTCACAGTGCAGATCTTCAGGGCTTTGAAGTCACAACTGGGCATGAATTCCAACTCTGCCTCTTAGTAGCTTCCCATCTGTAAAATACGGCATTGCCAGTTGATTGGCTTGGAGAGAAGATACCTGAAGAATCAATCCCTAGGAAACTACAGGTTTATTTTGCTTTCTGATTCAGTTGCTTTGTAATTCATTCTTTTTCATTATGGGCACATAAGGACGTGCCGCTGTTCTGTGTTGGAAAGATGGAGAAGAAGTATTTTTAAATTGAACTGATACTTACATCTTTCAAAGAGGGAAGGGGGGCTGTTGTACGATGGATGTTCCAGTCATTCTGTAATCAGATTGCCCGGAAAAGGTTAAGTCAGACACGTCTTCAGTAAACCATAAAATTACACTATTTTATGTGTTTTGTGTTTGTTTCATCATAGGATATATGATTGGATGCCTGAACAGCCAAATATATTCCAAGTGGAGCAGTTGGAACGCCTGAAGCAAGAATTGCCAGAGCTTAAGAGCTGTTTGTGTCCCACCGTTAGCCGCTTTGTTCCCTCGTCTTTGTGTGGGGAGCCTGGTATCCATGTGGATGCCAACGGCATTGATAACGTGGAGAGCGCTTAGTTTGTATTGGGCAGAGGCCATCTGGGGGCATGCACCGCTGTTCTGGGTATTGACTTTTCATCATCGAGCATCGTTTATCTATGCCTTCTAGGTTTCTCAGTCCAATGAAGCAATAATGAAGTATTTTACTCTTTAACTACAGTTCTTGCTAGAATCACGTATGCTATTTAAATCACTTGGCCAGGTATAATTACCAGTCAGTCTCTTTACAATGAGAAAATTTGTTGGTTGACAAACCTATTAAACTAAATATATAAACATATAATGTTAAACAGATGTTCATTAAAAGCATAGTGCTTTGAAATTAACTATACAAATATATTTACAGTTCTTACAGCTTTCATTTGATCAGGTCTGAAACATTTAGCACTTGGGGAACATGACTATGCATAATTATACCTGACCATGGAAAAAATTAAGTACCTCAAATGCATGCATTTGCACTGGTGATTCCAGCTGCACAAATCTTTGTGCCATCTATGTATATATGTATTTTTTACGTGGATTGACATGCACAGACACCATTTTCATTCAGTATGAACCTAGAGGCTGCTGCCTTCTCCCACTTAACCAAACCAGTGCCTGTGTAAACAGCCTGCAGGTGATCCTTGAGAGCTTGTTGCATAAGTCTTTCAAAAGTTGTTTTGCATAAAGTTTCCAAAAATGCTGCAGGGTAATTTAATGTATAAAATATTAGAAGTATGTACTGCATACTTAAGAGAATAGATCATAATGTATAAATTCTATTCAGTGCATGCTTTAGGTTTTAAGCATGAGATTGTACACGTTTACTGTAAGTCCTTGCATCTGTGGTGCTAGGTGAGTGTGAGAAGGTGTCAAGGACTGAAAATATTTTGTTGCCTAAAAAAAAAAAAAAAAAAAAAAAGCCTGTTTGTAGGCGTTTTCAGTATGCTTATTTTAAGTGTCTCTCACTACCTATTACACACCATTGCTTTGTGGGTTTGTTTTGTGTGTGTGTGTGTTGTACAGTAGTTAAATCTCCATGCAGAAAAATAAATGTCCTGAATTCTCATATTGGTAATCTTTATTGGTTAATATGTATCAGGCATGTAATTTGTTTAGAAATGTAGAAGATCCTTCTAAATGTATATGCGTGTTTGTAGGATTATACTAAGGTTTCGTTCATTAGATGCTGATTGTTTTGGCATAACTGTAACTTAAGAACGAATGTTAAATAAAATATACAGATTTATTTTCTTCCTTATAAAACAAAATTTCAAGAAGGTATTACTTTTATAGACTTGATTCTATAATATTATTATGAGAAATTGGAATTTAGGAATTGGAATCCTACCCTAAAGTGATGAGTTTATTTGCATCTGCCTTTTGCTGCATGTTCTTCACTAGGCAATTTATTCATGCATTGAGATGTTTTAGTATTAGCTGAGAACCTAAGACTTGGAATTACACATTGTATCTTTTTTTTTTAAGCCAAACAATGCAATTGTGTGATTCAGTATCGATGAATTATGAGACTTAATATCAATTGTGTGAAGGCAGGCTTTGAATGCCCATGGTGTTGTGCTATAACAGTGATATTTAATGGAAAAGAGTTTAGGAAATGCAGTCTTCTGCAAGGGTTCTATATACTTTTCCCACATTGAATGAGATTTTCCAACGCTTTGGTGTGACTTAGGCAGTTTTAGAAAACTCCTAAAAAGGAATTTCATTTTCTTTGTCTACAGACCTTGCTACAATACAGTGACCGTTACCTTATGGTGAGTTGATTAGCCATAGGTGTGCGTTTCCGGTCTTGTTCGTTTGCTCTCCTCCCCTGTGCCTTTCCAGTCCAGTGGCAATGCAGCTCCATGTTGAAGACTCACAGATCATTAAGGGAAAAGAGAGGTGATGGGGCGAGGCAGGGAGTTTCCCAAACAGTGTCATTTGCTGCAAAGAGCTTACACAAGGACTGCTTATGCCCCAGACAGAACCTCACTGCTCCCTTTCTTTCCTGTCCCTTCCCGACCTTGCAAACCAGGGTTAGCAGGCAGTTAAGGCATAGCAAGCAGTAGCTCCCCGTGGCTATAGGACTGAGTCCAGGCTTCCGTATCACTAGCTGTTGCCCTGTACGCTCTGCTCTGGCCACGCCACGCTCCTACACGATTCCCTGTCTGTAGCCATGTGCCCTCTGCCTGGAAGCCCTCTCCTCCCCACAGACTCTCTCCCTGCCAGACTCCTTTCTCCTGAGCCAACAACCTCTCTGAGTTCTTGCTGAAACTTCTGCAGAAGGGTGTGAATCCATCTTTTACTCCATAGCCGTATGTTCATACCTTGGTCATGCCATGCGTCCTAGTGCATTCTAGGTAGGCATAGTTGTTTGTCTCACCTACCAGGCTGCGGGCTCTTTCAAGGGCAGGGAACTTGTCGTACTCTTTTTATTTCCACAGTGCATGGAACATGGTAGAAAATAAATGTTGGAATTGTCGAGATAATATAATTTGTATCAAATGTCCTTTTGAATTAAGAGACTTAATTATGTTTACTAAGAAAGTAAACTTTGGTTTACATTTTGACAGTTGGAACAGTTTGTTGATACCAATTTTAAATGTAGAGGTATAATGTTCAGATCATTTTATATTTTCTGGAAATTGAGTGCAATGTTTGATAAAATGCCGCCATTGTTCTCTGGTGTTTTCTACTCTCTGGAATTATGTACTGTAACTGACTGGATGTAAATGTGGGGAATACAGTTCATTCCTGTGTTGGTAGTGCGAAGGGCTGCCACAGCCACCCATTACCTCACTCCCGTTGTCGCTTGTGTCTTCTCCCCTCCAGACCGCACGCTTACGCCTACCTCAGTACCGCTTTCCTTGTCTGAAATGCCTTCTCTGTCTTCCTTCAGTGTCCAGCTCAGGTGCCACCTCCGTAAACCTTGGCTCAGCTTTTGATCGAAATCATGATGCAAACAGATGCTTACAGCCTCTAAATCTCACTACTTCATTTTGCAGCTGGGCTACTAAACCCAGAGAAGTTAACTGACTTACCAGGTTGGGACTAAACTGGGTTTTGTGATTCCTAATTCTGTGTTCTTAATCTACGCTGCCTTCCGAATTCTTGTGGCATTTGTTAGCATGTGCTTTCTTACCGTTTTTTTTTTAATGTGCCTGTTCTACTTCCCTAAGATTGTAAGCCCCTTAAGGGCAGGGACTTCTTCGCATTCCTAGCGCTGCTATAGTGTTCTCTCCTTAGTTACGAACTAGACAAATAAATGGCGGTGGCAACGATCCTAGTTTCCTAATCAGATTGTTTCACAGTCTACATACGGTTCTGTATGGCCTGCTTGGCTATGTTGTCTGGAGTGTGTGTGCTCGTGTGCATGCGTGTGCATGTGTGTCTGCATGTATACTCGGGGGGTTCTCGCTCTGCCCCCGTGGTTCGGGGTCACAGACGGGTTACCGTAAGCCGAGTTTCTGCTCCGTGCCAAATGAGGACAATTATGGGACTCAATGGAAGACGAGGTCCAGCTTTTCCCCCAGGCCTGGCTGGCCCTTCCTGGGCTGACACCCCTAAATCCCGCAGCCGCTGGTCTGGGTGGGCGGGATGTGCTGCCCTGGATAGGACTCGGGTGACCCGTGGGCAGGCTGTCTCACTAGCCCTGGTGGAGCGTCACTGCCCTTTGTGCCTGGGCTCTTTCTCTTCGTAGCTGGCCTCATTCTGTTTCACATGTTGACTGGTTTGGTACTCTAGGCTGGCAGTGGAGTCCTGTTAATTCAGATTTGGATATGACTCCTTTGCATTTTAAATTTGGGTTGTGTATTTTGGGGGTAGGAAGCAAAGTGTACATATGAGGAACATTGCGTTATTTTGTTGTTCCTGAGTAGAAATTTATTCAAATACAATCTCTTAGTTTATACAGTTTGAGAAATGGATTTGAAATGTTTAACATGCAAGAGAGCATATGATTAAGACCATGCAAGTGTGTGTTGGAGATAAGAGGAAGAGAGAAGAGGTTGAAGTGCTTGAGCCCTTGCAGAATGGGGTAGATAGAGATCAGGGTAGCTGTGAAGCCACAGTGGGGCACAGCCTTCGTAAATCAGAAGCCAGGGTAGGGTGGTATTTGTGATGTGTTCAGAGAGAATGAAGGAACCATCCTGATAATGGAGAGGATATTTTTTTTTTTACAGATTTTAAAGGGAAATGAAAGAAATGTATTTTGAAATAATGAGGAAAGTAGTATTAGTACAGGAATAATAAAAGAAGTGCAGAAATTAATTTGTCTAATCCTCCACTAAACTGGTCCAAGTATACATCTTACCTGCTCAGACCAAAAACAAAAATGCAGATGGGATAAGTGAGCTTCTGAAACTTACTTGCATATATGCAAAGCTAAACTATGTAATGTCACAGGAAGAAAACAAAGTTTAGTAAAAGTCCGTCCCACGGTTTCAAGTGTGTCCCTCTGCAGCCCACATTTCTCCCGTAAGCCCAGATTTGCACATCCAGCTGTCTGTTCGCGCCTCCACTTGGAGGTGTGATGGCCACCTCACATGTAATGTGCCTCCAAAAAACTCTTTTTCCTTCTGGTAAAATTGTTCCTATCCCACCTGCTCCGGTGATCTATGTCACAGTAAGTGACACCCAGGAGTATTACACAATCACAAGTTACCAGTAAGAGAGAAATCATGGAACTTTATATTACGATATGTGATAGGTCAGTTGCCCGTTTGTTTCTTCTCAATTAAAAAAAAATCTGCCACGTATTCTTTTGCTATTTTAATAGCATAGAATCATCTTACCAAGTGCCAGAAAAGTCCCCTTGGGATTTTGAACAGTGTTGGATTGATTTTCTAGATTAACGTGTGGGAAGGATTAATGTTTTAAAAATAGGAAGTCTTCCTATCCAGAATACAGAGCGTATCTCCATTTTTTCAGAAGTTTTACATCTTCCAGTAAAACGAGTTTTTTCATTTACATACTGTATATTTTTTAAGGTTTACTCTTACATTTAAAAAACTACTTAAGAGGTTTTTTTATTATTCCCATTTTCCTTACATATCTTCTTCAGTAATAAGCAGTTAATTTTTGTTTATTGATCTCATCTGTAGCTACTCTGCTGAATTCAGTTAGTCAAAATATTTTGTTATTTTAAGTGTCCGGGATTTTCTAGTTGATCATATCTGCAAGTGCATTTTTCTAATTTTTAATAACAGCTTTTTCTTTATCTTGTCTTATTTCAGTAACTAATAACAATTGTAGGCATCCTTGTTTCTTTATGACTGTAATGGGAAATCGTATGATGGCTGCTGGGGATTCCAGTAGATGACCCTTACCAAATTAAGGAAATTTCTTTTTCTTCTTGATTTGCTAAAAGATCTCTTCCCCAACCAGCTCCACTCCAGCCTCAAGGGATAGGTGTGGAATTTATTCAGTGACTTTTTGAGGAGTTCGAAAACAATCATAGTTTTTCACTTATCTGTTAATTTTAATGGACTGAACGATGCTGATATATTTTCTAATGTTGAATTACCTTGCAATAATTGGTATAAAACCTATTAGTAGAACTAATGATGTAATGTATGGGGATTAACATAAGAATAAAAAAAAGACCTATTAGTGTTCTTTTGATAGTGATTGGCTGATTCATTTAAGATTTATTATGTATATTCATAAATCAGATTGACTTAGTTTTCTTCTGCTATTTATGTCTAGTTTTAGAGACCATTAGGATAGCCTTATAAAGTCAGTTGAGTTAGCCTTTCAGGTTTTTCTATCATGTGGAACAGTGTTTATAATGTTAGTTGTTTGTCTGTTTGTTGACGGTTTGATAAGCGGTCAGTTGTTAGTTGTTTGTCTGTTTGTTGACGGTTTGATAAGCGCTCTTATAAAACTGTGTGCGTATTTTCAAGTGGGTTTTTTTTTTTTTCTCCTGCCCTTACAGTTTCTTCTTTAGTTATAGCCTGTTTGTGTTCTCTACTTTTTTATTAAATTTATATTTTGGGGGAAAACCAGCCAGTTTTCCTAGATTTAAAAAAAATTACTTGTCTGTCCAGCTATGTGTTGTATTTAGTATTAGTGTGTGTATATGTTATATAATATGTAATATATATATACACACATACTAAATACTGGATATCATATATATGTAAAATCTTCTGAGATGTGACCACTTTTTCATCTTAATGTTTTCTTTGGCATGAAGCAGGGAGTTATCCTTGATTAGATTGCCAAAGGTCTATCTTTTTTTTTTTTTTTTAACTAGGCTTTAGTAGTATTGAGCAGTGTTTTTACTGTTTCATTAATTACTGCTCTTAAATTTAGTGTGTAAAATTCTACCTAATTTGGATTTATTTTCTACCTTTTCTTCTTGAGTTGAATCTACTTCAATACTAAAAACAGTTCTGGTTCTATAACAGAATGGAGTTGACCTTGGAAAAATACTGTTTTACTAGAAGGGAACAAGAACTTTACTTTCTGAAAAAAGAAAAAAAGTCTAAGGAGCTGTTGTTTCCATAATAATGGAAGTATGCACCATATAAAGTATGAACCTTATTTTAGTTTTTAGCTAGTCTGATTGAAGTGAATTCCCTTATATTGTAATTCATTAAGGCATAACCATGATCAAATATTTGTCAAGGGCTTGGTTAGGAGAATAAAGGCAGCTTCTGTCTTCAGCGTGCTTATTTAGTTTGAGGTATTTATATGTTTTTAAAAATGCAAGATTGGGGTGCCTGGGTGGCTCAGTCGGTTAAGCAGCTGCCTTCAGCTCAGGTCATGATCCCAGGGTCCTGGGATTGAGCCCCACATCGGGTTCCTTGCTCAGCGGGGAGACTGCTTCTCTCTCTGCCTGCCACTTTCCCTGCTTGTGCTTTCTCTCTCTCTCAAATAAATAAGTAAAATCTTAAAAAAAAAAAAAAAAAAAAAAAAGCAAGATTGTATAGCGGTTGTCCAAGAGCGCAACAGAAAGAAAGTCACTAAACTTTAACCTGATATTAGCTCATTTAATGACAGATAAGTCTTCCCACTTCCACTTCAGCCAAAGTGGCTCTGCTCTGACCTGTTTTGGTTCTCCTAATTGAGATGTGATTGGAAGGTAGGGCTCCTTGGCTAAGAACTCTTGAGATGCCTGTCAGACGTGTGTGTGAGCGGGGAGGAGAGGACATGATTGATTTCCGCAGTGTTGTCTTCCAATTCACTGTTTACTTTCACTGTATCTAGCTTACTCTTTTTATTGAATTTTAAATATTACATACTTTGTAGTTTTTTTTTTTTAATGGAAGTATAACGTCCATTTATCTCTTTAAACATTCTCAAGCGATTTCATTTTATCCTATACTTTCCAGGCTTTTGTGGAATGAATTCTTGTTCTGATTTTGTTGGCTATCTTTCTTAGCATTGAGTTTCCTTGTGTGTTTTGGAGTTTTGGTATGCAAGCTCATGGGGTTTTTTTCTTTGTTTGTTTCCCTCTTCCATCCTCTCTGGTGATCTGCTGGTTGCCTCCCTTAGGAGCTCCAGGATCTCAGACTAAATCCGGGTATATGATCGCACCTGGTAATTAATACCAAAGGGGAGTGGGAACATTTGTACCCCATCCCAGAGTCACCTGGTAGCATCATTTTGATTTCTGGTCCAAGGAGGTTTTGCTATTTTATTTATTTTTATTTGTTTTCTCTTTTTGTAGTGTGCCCATTTTTCCTGTGTATTTGGAACAAAGGTTTGTTTGTTTTGTTTTGTTTTGGCACATACTCACCACATCATCATACAGTGTTAAAAATTCCGTCCTCCCCGGAGGGCCCCAGAGTGAATGTGTGCAGTGAGTGTGCTGGAGGTTTACGGTTGTCTGGCTGCCCAGTGCCCAACTCCTACTTTTGGGAGCAGGATTTTGGTGGGGGTGAGCGATGTTCTCTCTCCCCTGTTGGGTACAATCCTTGGGGACCTGTGAAATAAAGCGTCCTCCTGTCCCCAAGCCAAGGACTGGGTGCATGAACAGAGCCAGGCCAACTGGACCCTGGACTCTCTCCTGGATCACTGTAGATTAATCAGAACAACCATAGGATAGAATAAATGCTTCGACTGTTTCCCTTCTAGAGCAACTGCAGTTCCCACAGTGAAGCCCATAGGATCTTGCTGCTTGCTCCTTTGGACCTGTGCCCAGGCCTTCCCTTCAGTTCTGTGAGATCACCTCCATCCCTCTAGTAAATTCCTTTCTTCTAATATTAGAGGCAAATTTTGTTGCTTAACACCCAAGAAAGCTTGACTGATGGACCATGTACCCTTACAGATGTGG